AGTATGTAATACACTACGAAGTACTTCGTACCGACTCCCAAGTTCGTTCATTTTTGCTCCACAGTGCGCAAATTTAGCATGAGTGATCGCAGTCCACTTGCTGTGTCATGGGACCTCAACTTGCTCCAGGGACATCCAGCTCTGAATGTACGTTAGGTCATTTCCCTTGAGGAATCTGACTCAGGAGCGGCAGTAGGAAATATCATTACCAGATATTCCTCACAATTGCTTAGAACCGACGGGATGCCCTTTTCTCTACTGCTCCTGGGGACGGATGAGCTCATCGGGACATACTCCGTACAGTCTTCGACACAGTATCAAGTATTTAGGCTTTGTTGAGTACCTTTGTAGCAGTATCTTGTACCTAGCAGTATCTTCGGTTCACCCCTCACTTCCAGGGCTGATGGGAGGTCTTACCCCACCATCCCCACCCGTAACCTGCTGAGCCTGCCGGACTTGCCAAGGTGGCTGACGGGCGTTCTAGAATTGGCGCGAGAGTGTGCGAATGACAACCAGAGTTTTCCGTAACTAAAGGTGCATAACGACTGGAACCGAGGCCACCAAGGGACGGCGAGAGAGAAGCGATGGTTATTGACATCACTACACATATGTATCGTACTGTACAAGACACAACATGACAATGCGGTTGAGGTGGCCGATCAGGGTGTCTGGATGAAGCCGTTGCGAACGGTAGATCAGCTATGTAAATTGCTAGGAAGAGATCAAAGCATCGGAGACGGAGAAGCCGAGCGTCTAAACACAGAAGGCTCTGCTCAGCTCAGATGGGTGCTCTGGTTGCTACAGCGCTGCAGCACCTCCTGCTCCACGTGTGTGCGACCTCCCAAGCGGAGTGGAACACCCACAATCTGCATGCGATCCGTCCGGCAAGCCAATTGCAAATTAACTCCACCAAGCGCCCTTCCCCGGTGACCGCCCTTTCCCAACTGGTACTACCTAACAGTTTCTTCCTTGCCCACTTCGCAAACCGCTAATGGCCTGCTATCAAGGACGATACCTAGCAGAGCCACCGCGCTTGCGGTGACAAGATAATACATGTCTGGGGAATTACCTACGGAACTCTCTTGCAAGGCCGCCATGCCAACGGAAGGGTCTCGGGGAACATGGTGGGACTCAGGCTCCAGTCCAAACAAACCCCAACGAACCCCACAGCTATCATGCGGCACTTGAAATGCTCGTACCTTCAACTTCCAAGTGGTGTCGGATATGACGCAATCTCCCTCGTCCGGTTTTCAACAGGGTCCTTTTCCGCCAGGACCGTGACGGTTGCATAGGCCGTGGCAACACTATTAGCAACAGAAACTCCCCCGTTTGCTGTACTTGTGTATATGTACAAGTACACGCCGCGGCTTCCCTCATAGAGTCAGGTTTCGGCTGCTTGGACACGTTTCCCACCAGGCGGGACTGGTCCGATGTTCATAGCCGCTCTGTGTAGGGCTTCCCACGATCACAATTGCCCAGTGTGAAGACTCGGATGACTTCCAGTTGGTACCTTATTACGGAGTAGGTAGGTGTCAAGTTTTGATCTAGCCCTAAGGTATCAGCCGATGCAGTTGTGTCACACGTAGTCTCCCAGCCTGTCTGTCACCTAGAGAGACTGTTAGCAGTCAACCGAATTGAGTGCTGTCACATCATCTGTGAGTTTCCTAGGTAGGCTGTCTGATAGCTGCTTTATCTTCGATTACACCTCAGCTAGGTAGGTATCTTAGACAAACAGCTTGGACTGGCAGCCAAATAAGAGCATCCAACATAATGCTATCCATAAGTAGGGACCTAAAGAAGGCAGGTATTGTACCTGTGAGTAAGGTTGCTATATGCCTGTCGCATTCTGGCGGTGCACCCCGTTAATTCCATTCCATTTAGAGATCGTACTTTCAACCAGGTAACAGGTACTTACATCTTCCCACGACCTACGGACTAGAAGGAGGGACTTATAACTGTCCTCACTCAATAGCATCCGTGGTGGTTTAGCATACCTAGTACCTGAAATGAGTACATACTATATACTTATGCGGCCGAGAACACCGTGACAATGTCAGCCAGGATCCGTGGGACAACATAGAGTGTGAGAGGGACGCGCAACTAGGGTAGGTATGTCACGGGCTTGTTAGAGTTCAATACTAGGTACTCCACAGGCTACTAGTACCTAGTGGACTACCTACTGGAAAACTGTAGGCTATCGTCAAAGAGCAGACTGGGGCTGACCTACTAGTGCTTCCAGTGTTCCCCAGGCAAATGATATTCAGCAGCACCGCTCGTAGTCTAGTACTACTAGTACCAGCAGTGCTGTTAGAGACACGATAAATCGGAGCGTCGGGTAGTGATCTGGAGCATTTGGTTGCCACAATTGCGGACCCTGTGCCCTGTGGAAGGCGTCGATAAGTGGAAGAGAAGCAGCTAACGTTAGAGATATCTTGGCTTTGATCTCCGAGTCATCGAAGCGTTCGATCCGGTCGCCCTCGGATGCGTTTTCTCGGAAGACGCATTCAATTTTATATCTGTTACTAGTATCTATTCGATTGGACCATAGTCCGAGGAGACTATGACATCAAGCACAAATCAGTCCAGTGCTTCAATTGCTGGCTTCCGGTCAAGTTGACTCTGAAGCCCAGAGACTGTCTTAGGTTAACATACACGTGAGTCAGGGGGTGAACTGAATCAAACCAATTTCCAGGTTTTCAGCATTTACTAAAGGTTCAGGACGTAGCATCCCAAAAATCGATCAAAATGGGCTCCATTACTTGATTTAACCATCTCCCCCCTTCCCGTTAGCCATCTTATATGGACTTGTACCATGGCCGTCGTTAGAACGACATTGTTGTATGATCCTACCTATCCGGGCAACCAGTCCTGGAAGCATATAGGTAGCCTATCGCAGATTGATGCCTCTCTATTCATTTTGGGGCTGGTTGACACTGTGATCCCTTCTTGGCTTTCTTAGAGTAAACACTACTACTACACATGCGAGGACCAGTAAGGTCACGGTACATGTATGGTGTGAGTAGGTAGTCACTAGTCAGAGTGTCGACTAGGTCAACGAAAGCTCATGTACACAGGGTACTCAAAGTCAATGCCGCCCACTAGACAAAGCACTATGAGTTTGGGAGTACATGTAGTAATAATATTTAGGTAGCAATGGGTCTGCTCAAGGTAGACTCGGAGTCCCAGTAGATGATGCTAGGATGAAGTCCGTTGAAACAGCTATTAACGGGTAGTGCAGTGAATCTTATTACTAAGGTACCTAGTCTGGCTGGTGGGCGTCAAGTTAAGTTACCGTGTGTTCCGGGTCCATCCAAGCAAGTTAAGCAACCAATGGGAAATAACGACAACAGGCCCGGGAGAGGCTGAGCAGAAGCAAAGCGTTCAAGTCTCAATGGCTGCTGCTAGAGGATGTACCTTGATGTTTCAAGCTCAATGAATAGAGCTGCCTCTAAGTTGCCTGGTAGCCCACGCTAAGGTAGGTACTACCTTAGCCTGATAGATGATAGAGAGAAGGGCCAACCACGTGAGCTATGCGAGCAGTTACAACAACCGGCAGAAGTTGGGCTAAAGGATCAATGGTAGGTTGCCATTGGACAGTTACCGCCAGGCTCCTAGTATGATCGGACTTACAAGGTCGCATTTAGATCGAACTGCCACAACACCAGTCCGAGCTGACCCGGGGGATGTCCCAAACGACTGGATCTCACAATGTGAATGGGGCATTGTCTGGTATCAAAGCCAATGGGTCGGGCTCAAGCTAAGAAACCGTAGGTGTATATAAAAGCTATGCAAATTATGAATGACTTTAGGGTTAGTGCTTCTCAGTCTCTAGTGGTTTAGTATTCAACACAGCACAGAACAGCCCGTTCCTCTGTGACTACGGTAATGACAAACCTTCACTTCTTGTATAGCGCCCATTTCTGATCGCCTACTAGTAACTTGAAGGTACTACCTATCACAATGGGCGGCATCTCGCCAACCGGTGCGCTCTTCATATCCGCCCTGAACGATGAATCGAGGGCCTCCTGCCTCAGGATATTCTCAAACGACAACAATAAGACACAGTCGCTCCTAAGAGCTCCCAAGCCTTTGCCGCCGGCTGCCTTCGCCTTGAATCCCTCAAGCCACACTTCGGCTGAGAAGAAACACCTTTCCGTCCCCTCACCAAGAAGGAACGGGCTCAAGCTCGACAAATCGCCCTCATGAAACCTAAAGCCTGGGAGGACACCCTGTGAAGGCATCTTTAAGAAGGTGATTAGGATCATGGATGGCGTCACGGAGTTCGGTTTGACTTGGCTGGAGGTGGGCTGTATTTTCGGCACTGCTGATATATCGAAGAGATATGGAACGAGGTTGTGAGAACCTCCCAAGTTCGAGCGTGCTATAGCACCTCAAGCTGACAAAGTTCCTGTCACAATCTGTTAGTACCGGTACTACCTTGTCCCACATGGCTCGTAAACTCGCGGATTCCGTGGCTACCAACACGGGTGAGCATCACGAAACCAGGCTAGCTCTCTGCATTTTCCTCAACCATGGCAGCCGACCCACCCTACACTACTGCGTATCACTCGCCCCTCGTTTCCCTTGGAATGCCTGTAAGTCCAGCCTAGCCCCGACCAGGTCTACAGAGGGAGACCCATCGAAACAGCGTCCAAAGGCAGTCCGGATCTGAAGGCAGAGAAAACAAGACTCAAGACACTACACGACAAGATACAACGCCATTGTCCTTCATCAAAGGGAGCCATAGACGCCACGAGAACCCATCCCATAACCAGAAATTTCAGAAACAAAACATGCTCGCCACGCCCCGTGACCAAGTTCTTCACGCATTCCGTCGTTCAAAACGGCCGCGCTAGTGGAGAGGTCATCCGTAAAACACCACTTGCAACGGCCTCTTTGCAGCCCAACACTCCACCCTCCCACTCTTTGCCCCCCTTTTCTCTGCCCGTCTCTTCCCATAACTTCATCACCACAAATTCCCCGTCCCTTCTCTGCCCTCCTCATACAATCATCTGGGCAACCCCGGCACCGCCAAGGGTCTTGCTCCCGACAAAGGCCTGGCCCTTGATGCCGGCAAGCAGGTAGCAGAGGCCCGTGAAGGTGAGCAGGACGGCGGCGGCGATGAGCGAGGTGGCGTAGCGGATGATGGAGAGCCACTGGACGATGGCCATGACGGCGTAGGCGGCCGCGCGCATGTAGTTTGTCGAGATGCGGCGGATGGCGTTGTCGAAGGTCGCCGACGTCGGGCAGATGCGCAGCAGCAGCGGCACCTCGATGAAGAGAATTACGAAGGAGGATACCCTACACAATACGACGACAAGGGCGTCAGGAGTCAGCAGGAGGCTTGTTCGGTGGATTTGCCATTGGTGGGGAGAGGCGAAAGGAAGAGTAGGTGCGGAATACGAAACGTACAGGCAGATGACGCTAAAGGGGATGATGAAGAAGTCGAAGGTGAAGATGTTGGCTATGCCAAGGGCAAAGCAGAGGATCATGGACAGGATGCCCAGCCTAATTTCGGTGCGCACTCGTTAGCGCCTGGCCTTGAACCTCCAATCGTGTGCCTCAACGGTTGTTCCGTTGATATGTTATGACGACAAGTGTCCCGAAGAAGGCCTCAGTATCGCGAAGAGCGCAGAAGGTTCAGTCCTCACCATTGTGCGTAGATGCCTGGACAGCAGAAAAAGGCCAGTCAGTATCGTCCCGCAATGCCAGAATATGCCCTGGAGCGTCGAAGAAAGACGTACTGAAGTTGCGCGTTGCGAATTCCTCCTTCAACGTCATATTGCTTGCCGGTGGTTGATCTAGCCCACTGAAACGGATCCCACGGCACTCTTGAGCAGATTGCTTTCCAAAGCCTCAACTACACTAGCTGCCTATAGCTCGATCGGCGGCAGGAATCTCCACGAGAGCAGAAAGAAAGCTTCCAGGTGCGCCAGGCGAATCGTGCGCAAGCTTGCTCGGTTGGTTCCCTGCACCGTTGGCCTCGAAAAAGAGTAATCGGAATCGACGGGTGGGATAAGTAGGTGGTCCCGACGGCGTTGTCTCGCAGCTTTTTGGTCAAAGAAACTGAAAGCACCTGGCCAGACACAGTTGTTGCGGTTGTTCAAAGCTTCGTTGTTCAACGGAATGATAGGGTCAGGGTACAGAGTATGTAGGTAGGTCGAGCTTCTAACAATGGAGCAGTTAGCAGGTTGTCATTTCGGCCGACGCACGGCTGCTAACGGTTGGGAACCTGCGGCCCGGCGGTGGGCTGCGTGGTGCGATGGACCCGCTGATTGGGCCATGGCTGCTCCCCTGGGCAACGTCACACGGATATTCAGGTACGTACCCTGCAAGTTGAGCGCTTTTCTTAGGAAACTTCGAAACAGCACTCCAAACAACAGGTCGAATTCACGGTCCAACCTAGCGGCCTAGTGCTGATGAACTTGGTCGACTTTGCGTCGCCTTACTGAATACCTGTCCATGCTGCCTCGGAAACCACATATATACTCCAGGTCGCCAACAGGCAGCTGTTTTCTCGTCTCTCCAAGCTTGCCAGTCCGCCGCTGCTGACGTGCAAGCGGTTACGCGGCACCTTGGGCGGAGTAGCCCTGGAGGTAGGGACATGAGCAATGCTTATCACACCATACTGTGTAGTTACGGAGCTGGTTTTTTATAAGCAGACGCATTCTTTGTTCAGGATACCCATCTGATATCAACCCAAACGACACGGTCAAGAACTCCGCTTTGCCATACACCTGTCTCGACGTTGTGTGCGCCGCAATATCCATCCGTGTCGTGAGCCCGCGAAGGCGCCGTCAATAACCCAATACGAGTTGTCTCCGGCGCACTTTATCATCCTCACTAATCCACCAGATCAAGACGCACCAGAGTCTCGCAGTTTTGTCTAGTCTAGATGCAGCCTCGTTACAAGGAGCAAAGGTGCCCGGCCGTCTGTCCGCCAGCGAGCGCGCTGCTTACATAAGGACCAGCTTGAAGATGTCGTTGTAGACGAACCACTGGCCGGCAGGGTCCTGGCAGAGATGGAAAGTTTGCGAGTAAGGAAGCGGGCGCGACTCATCGTCAACCTAAACACAGTCAGTGTTAACAGGGAAACATGTTGATTTGCCCCAGCCATGGCGAATCGCCCCGAGTTGAACGTACCACCAGCTGCCCGGTAACCAGGATGATGATGCCTCCGTTGGCGGTAGGCTGAGCCTCAGGTGGGGCAGACTGATGCGTGACCTTTTGGAACGGGAGATTCTGCCCGGATAAAAATCAGCAATCTCGCTGCTTTCACCTAGGATGGTGCATGCCTTACCGTGAGTTTCTCCGCAATGCTCGGAGCACCGAGGTGTTGCGTCCCCTCGAACGTCAACATCGAGTTCTCCCTCTAAGTCAACCTATCGCATCAGCCATCTCTGTCCCCCTTCGCAACCTAGGTGAAGCGCTCGGTGGGTGTAGCGTACGTAGAGACCCGCCAGTGCCTTGCGATCGGTATCGAAGGTCCTGTAATAATGCTCGACAAACTGGTCTGCCAGTCGGGGCGAACGAGAAAGAAACCCAATGTTAGAAAGCGTTGTTCCCAGCCAAGATGCAAGAGGACGATGCTCAGCGATCGCGCAAGGACAGTTTGTATGATCCCGGTAGATACTCACTCGCGATAGCCAGGAAATCTACTCCAGCGTTAGCGACGTCGTTTGCTTGCAATCATCATCACCAGGAGCCGGCGCAAACGAGGCATAACAGAAATCGCGGGGTAAACAGCAGCCCCTCATCTGCGCCTATTGTTTTGGGCAGAGAAGATTTGACTTACCCATTTTGAAGCGATCACCAACGAAGGTCCCTGGGATGAGAGAAATTCAGGTAAATTCGAGAGATTTCAAGTGTTCCTCGGCGCCGGACAGAGAAGCTGATGCTGGAGTGGTGGTGGTGATGGGTTGTTAGGTCCGTCTGGGATTTGCAGGTCTGAAGGGGGGATGAGGCACCGGCGGCCCACAAGAAATCGCACCTAACAGCGTTGCGCGATGGTGGGGTTATTGTTGGCCTCAGGCAGAACGTACAGTACCTGCTGGAGCCTGGACGGTGGGTTTCTGGTTTCGCAGATATAAATTTCTGCCATTGTTATTGACAGCCGCAGCTTCTTCCCTCCTTGTCCCCTGATCACAACGACAACAACCAACACGTTGGGAGCCAAGGAAGCGCGGTGGTCCCGTCGGGCAGCAGCCTCCAAGACAATGACTTTGTTGGCACCAACGGAAAGCTAAGACACTTGATTGCCTCAGGTATGCTTCTTTCCCTTTAGTTCTTCCAGCAACTCCCATAATGCCCTTTCCATGATGACACATTCTTCTTAAGAACGGCCAACTGAATTCTCCATGTTGATCATTCAAATATCAAGCTCAACAGTCTGATTTCCCTCCCTCCATGAATCCATCATGCTGTAGCCCCATCAAGGGGAGACTCGCGAGTACAGGAGGCTAACCATTAAATAGGTGCAGGGCCCAACTGGGCACCGGTTTATCGCAGTCTCAGCTTGAAGCTGGCACCCTGACATTTTGGGTAACTCACCTAGTTTCCAGCTACTTCTTCCGAATCACAATCGATTATTCTACTTCGCGCTCAATTGATGTATCCCCATCTGGACGGAGGGTGATCCATAGCAAGGTTGCCCTGAATTAGCACACCCAGATACCGTAATAAGAACTCTGGTCCATGGGCTCAACCAGCCAATTGTTCCTATAAAAGGACTACCATACAAATGTGCTCAATGTCCCTGATATTCGCCCCTGCCGTGGTCGGCATGCTTCTTGCATTATATAGCAGCGGCCTGTGTCTCACGCTGTCCCATTGGCGTCCTCCCGTCCCTTCAGCTGCCGACTCGCCAGTCTGGCGTGTTAGGCAGGCCCGGAATGTCCCAATGGTTGATATGCTGCGGACTCTTTAAGCGCGGAGGGGCAATATACTCTGAGGCCGCCAAAGTAGAGGCAAGAGAGAGCACACTCTCAGATATCATGTAAAACAGGCCCATTGGGCACTAGTTTTACACATCTCGTTCCCAGATTCTCCCTATTTGAATACCCGACCGGTCGATCAGAGTATCGGCCTAGACCTGTGGAGGTCGAGGCAGCGCATGATATTCGCAGCCCATCGTTTATTCAGCAGCAGCCGCAGAGAAAACAGACACCCATAAGCCTCACAACTCCTCCTCCACTTCCACTTTCATGCTCGACGAAGGCTGCTCCTGATCCTGGCTTGCCTGAGAAGCCTGAGCCTTGGCGAGTATATCCCCGAGCGGCTGTGCGGAAGGAAAACTCCCGCTGCTGGGCCCGCTTCCGGTTGCGCCGAGGTCCGCACCGCTGATGCTAGGCCGAGCCTTCTTCATTGGGCTTCCGACAACATCGTTATCACCCGCCAAGGGTTTCCCGAAGATGCCTGCAGCGGCCGATGCCACGCTCCCTGAGCCGAGGGAACCCTCCGGCGGCGTAGCTACTCCAGCGCTTGGCGACTTTCTCGGGCTGGATGCGCTGTCGGGCTCGACTGAATGCGCTCGCTTGAGCTGAATCAATGACACAAATTAGCGTTCAGTCGAGAGGTGAATGATTGGATCAGGAGAGGCTTACCCTAATTCGATTCACGCCATCGGCTAGTTCGCCAGTGAACTTGGCGTCTTCTGGGCCGAGTTTCGCCTTGTCATACTTAGTGTCAAGGTCGTCCATCTTGGCAAGTATCTCGGCGCCGTCGTCATCGTCGTCATCGTCGTCACTGTCCGCAACCATTGCGCTGGCATCCGAGACGCCGTTGCTCTTGCGTGCCTTCCGCCTTCGTGTGGACTGGTTGTCCGTGTCTCGGAAGCGTGAGAAGCCGACAGTGCCGCTGGTCTTTAGAGGGCCGAGATTGGAGAAGTCGAGCTGACCAGATCGCCGCTTCATGGCTGCTGGGGAGGTCGACTGCGGTTTGGAGGGTGCCATGACGCCCATCTTTTGCAGTTGGCCTATACAAATGTCTAAGTTAAAGTGCGCTATCTCGGGAGTGGCCTGCTAACTTACGCTCGCCGCGGTAGAAGAAAGTAAAAACGGCAAATGGCTTGTCCGGCCCGTCGATACCTGTCACGGTCTGCGTGCTGATCGTCTTGGGATCGAGTGTCTTCGGCTTCGCGAAACTAGTGGTGTGCTCCACATCGGCATCGATTCCGTTAGAGCCTCCCTTGCCCTCGTCCTCGGAAGAGTCGTCGTGCGCATCAAACTGGGGCGAGTACTCTCCCTTCTTGATTTCGCCTGAGGCGATGACCCGGAACATGGCGACCTTGATCTGACCGGTCGCCTCGGGCGGCTCGTCATCGTCAGAAGAGGAGAGAGAATCATCGTCAGGGAGGGCCTCAACGGGCGCCTGCTCGTCCGCGGCGTACCGGAAGGTGCCGCGCGACCTAGTAGCGCCCTCAATCTCCATGCTTACGGCTCCCTCGCCAGCGGGCTTTTGCCTTCTCCTACGCTTCTCAAACTTCTGTCTTCGGCGCTCCAACTTCTCGGCGGCGTCGTGCCCCTTCAGGTCGAGACCATTCAGCCATCTCTCCAAACCGACTTCGCGAAAGAGAAACTCCCTTTCGGCCAGGCCGCCGCCCTCCGACTCGGGGACTTGAACCCATCTACTATTGACCCAAGTCTCTTCTCCGGGCCGCAAGAGCGTGGCAACCTCTTCTTTGGCCCTTCCGTCAAAGTAAATGTAGGCGGCGATGGTCTCGTTTTCGCTGCTGGTCAAGGGAACGTAAGGGTCGACGAGGCCCGTCTTTCCACGCTCTCCTGGGGCCGGCATGGGGCCGACGATCTGGGGTTTCGGATACGGATTGCTCGGAGTCGCTCGAGGCATCGAGTAAGGTATCGCGAGCCCTGGGGTGAGCAGCGTGATAGAGATGGCGAACTTGGCCGGCTCAGGCTTGTTTGTCTCTGGGTTCAGCTGGGGCTGCGGGACCGGTATGTAACTGTTGATTCGCGACAAGCGCGAATTCTTTTGGACGCCATGCTCGGGCAGCGGGGCTCCATTGGCGTGGATGCTCACCGCGATGCCCTTGTAGCAGGGCATGGTTGGTGGTGCTGAATTTCGGGGCGGAGCGGGAACCCGCAATGTCTGGAGCTGTGGCTTTGTCTCTTACCCCGCGTAAGAAAGAATGTTGGCCGGGGCCTACGATTCTTTTGCTGAAAACTCGAGAGCAGGTTTCACCCTGGGGTCGAGAAGAATCGAAGAGAACAATGGTCGGCGATAAACCTCGACGAGGTGAGCAAGGGCGGAGCAGTAGCCTGAGGAAGAATCCAAAGCGGTTGGGGTAGAACTTGGTAAAGCTAAGTAAGCTGCCAGTACCGTGTATTCTCCCTTTTATATCGACGACGCGCCGTCATGCAGCAGTCAAGGCAGGAAGGTTGGCACAACGAGGTTTGTAAAAAGTCACTCTAGGCGCTTTTATGAGTGGAAAACCGCACGGGATCCCGAGAGAATGGGGCTCGCGTGTGTTGGAGGAGCAGGGGTTAATTAAGATTTCTTCCAGATTCTCGCTGTGCTGGCAGCAAGCAGACTTAGAGGGGGTTGGGCCGTGCAGAAGACACGGTACGCCGCGGACAGCCCCGCGTTGTTGAGATGTTCTTCTGAATCTCCAATGCTGGTGGAATGAGCTGGCTGATCGCTCAGCTGGTACGCAACCATCGAGATGACAAGAAATGCTCTCAAACTATGAGGCTGAGGATGCTGGTGTAAAGAAAGTCATTTGGAGCGGAGATGAGTGACGATGGTCCCACTGGAGGTCATGCTGCAGGTAGGCTCGCTAGTGGAGCACGGGCCACCGCTTCAACAGATATGGTAATTACCACCGTAACAAGTGTAAATACACCACTCTGTGTACCTGAAATTCCTGAATGGTGCACAATTGGCCGCTCCACTTTGGGCGTCATTCTGCGTCGACGATCCAGGGCGGACCAGATGGCCAATACAATGCCAGATTGCTCGGCGTTGACAGGTGAGCTGGCGGTCATGCATCCGCTGGTGCCTGACATGTCATGGCCATGCTGTGATATGGAAATGAGGATTGCCCGTAAAGTTACTCATGATGCTTGCGATTTGCTTATTTACTGTAATTGGCTGCTAGCAAAGGTTGACGACCTTAGTTAGGTACAGTAGTCTTGCCTACCTTCCACTTAGATGACTTGTCCGAGGAGCGCATACTGTGAGGTAGAGGTATCTTGTAGGTTAGGTCACACACCAATTTCAAATCAATCCTATCTCATACAGGGGCACTATGAGCATGCCCTGCCAAAAATGCCAGAAACGCCAAAACACCAGTCCCGCCGCACACACTCCGATGCCTCTCACCCGGATGCCCCTCTGCTAGATATCCGCCTGCGGGCTCCTTCTCCGCTGACCTGGCTACTGTAACTCGTGCCTTCCCCCAAGGCTCTCGACCTGACACTCTCTCCTCCATCATCCGCATCATCCGCCTCTGCGCCTGCTTGACTGGCGCCGATATCCGGCACGGTAGCCATCTTCCTCTCCCCCCCCTGCCCTTCCTCCTTCACTTCCTTCTCCTTGCCCTTTGCGGCGGAAGTAGGAGCTGGAGCAAAAGGGGACGGGAGAGGAGAAGCACCCTGCTCAATCTTGACCTTCCCCTTCCCCTCCTCTGCCTTCAACCTCTCCCCGTTGCCAACTCCAGCTCCACCATTTCCGTCATGATTGCCCTCCTCTCCTCTCTCGCCCTCCTGGTCTTTCCCCCACCAGGTCGACTCAATCCCCCTCAAGCACCACGTGACGGCCAGCATGAAGCCGGCCATGACCACCATCTCAACCGCCCAGAAGCCGCAGGTGAGCGCGACGAAGGCCGTGGCCCGCCAGGCGTGCATGAACCAGCGCAGGCCGTGCAGCCGCGCCGTAAGGGTCACGCTGGCGTCGTACACCTGGATGCTTTGGCCGGCCTGGACCTCGAGGAGCAGACTGGTCGGGAAACCGGTGGCTGACGATCCGAGCCGCTTGGAGGAGGACGACGACGAAGACGGCTCGCTAAAAGAGACCTGCTCGGCCATGGGCACTTCGAGGCGCACGGCGGCGGCGCGACGCGGGAACAGCACGTGGTAGCCCAGCAGCAGGACCCGTCTGGCCAGTGAGGCGACTGGGTCCGTGTAAGGGATCAGCGCCGGGCGGGTTGAGGTGTAGAGGATGCGCGTGGAGGTCAGGTAGGTGGGGAGGTCGACGCGGGTTGGAACCAGGGAGGTAGGAGGGCCGGCGTAGTGGTCCGGGGTGTGCGGCGAGGGGGTGATGTATGGGAGGGGCAGCGGGGTGATGTCGAGGGAGGAAAGAAGATGCAGGGCAATCATGAAGTTGCCGCGGTCGAGGTTCGCAGGGGAGCGAGGGAGAGTCAGCGAGACGGTGATGTCGTAGGGCTGCCGGTCGTGCACGCGTTGTCGTGCCTGGAGGGCGGCGATACCGAACGGGTTGGGGCCGACGCTGAGGGTGTGATGAATGGGTTAGTGGTAAGTAAGAAAGGTACTGGCCATGCCAGAGGAGATCAACGCACCCATATTGTAAGTGCACGGGAACCGTTGTGACCATGTCCGGGAGGTACCTGTAGTAGAGAACCAGGTAGAGCACCACGGCGGGGATGTAGAGCAGGGCGCCGCCGACAATGAGCAATGTCGCGCTGATCACAGTCCTCTGGACCCCTCTAGAGACCAGAGTGCGGTGGGCGGCATGGTGGATGTTTTGAGCGGCGCCGACTCCTTCGTCTCGCAACTGGCCGAGAAGGTCCTCAATGTCGTCCTCATCCTGCATTTCGTTGTCAGATGGCACCCTCGCCATCGTTGAGGCAGCAATAGCAATAATGGGTTTGTTTGCCTACCATGGTGGGCAGGACACGAGTTGCGCAGCAGGCGGTGGCTCGTCTTTCTGTTGTTGTATCGGGTTCGTCTGTATCGGCTTCACATGCGATGGCCCCACTGAACCTTTGGGTCCATGGTGCAGACTGCAGAGCTGCATCCGAGCTGCAATTCTAGGTTGAGCTGGCGGGGTGTCGCAGTGGAGGAGAGATGAGGTCACAGGTACGAATACGTACCGGCATGTGCTTTGTCCTAGCTTTTTTGTATTTGAGTTGCAGCGATTCCAAAAGCGGTCAGTCTGATTGATTTACCTTACGTACGAGCTCACAATCACATACCTTAAATTCAGTTGTCTTTGACTCTTCAATCCACCACTGACGCAGGGTTGGGTTGGGCTGTTACATGATGACATGATCAGGAATTCAGGATTGCTTAGATGAGAGGACGCAGCAGTCTCTCGGCCAGGTATTCACCAAATGAAGCGTGTTGTGGTGATTCTAGGCTCACGTAGACGTCCGGACCGCGGTCACCTGCTTTTCTTACAGGATTCAGCATTCAGATACATTCAATAACAATGATATATGCTCCAACTCCCCTAGACAAACGAAAGCTATCGACATCGTAAAGTACACATCATCAGGTATGACGCTGGTACATTGCATCATTCCATCCCACACGAGAAGTCAGACAAAAGCTCCCTACATGATGATCCCTACATGAGTACCAGACAGGTACATGCAAACCTCACCACAACTCAACGTCCCCCTCACCCCTAACGCCCCTTCAACAAGGCTGCAAATAATTGCTCGGGACCAGCCCAACCATGCCGTTCCCGCCCTGCACCGTTGCCTCCCACCAGCCGTCGTCCTGGTGGCGGAGGATGGCCAGGATGTCTCCCTTGGCAAACCCCAACTCCTCGGGTATCGCAGCCTGGTACATGTACAATGCTCGCGCTACAGCCCCGTTAGCACACAACTCTCCACACAAAAGTAACAGGGGAAGAGAAGAGATATACTGACCAAAATGCAAAATGGGTCTCCCATCCCGTGTAAACCTCCCCGAATCAGCAGCAGCGACGCTCTTGCTCCTAGTCCTACCAGCCCCAGCCGCCTGCACCGGCCCGGCGCCTTCGTACAGGCTCATACCGCCGCCATTAGCACTATTATTATTTGGATTACCACCGCGCATGCTCAAGCTCGAGGCGGTATTGCTCCGGTTATGCCTGCCGCGGAGCGAGCCGCCGTACGCATCCCCTTCTCCCGGCGCGGGCGCAAGCTGAACCGCCATGTGGTCCATTCCCCCGCCTCCACCGCCCATGCTACTGCCGGGCCGGGTATCTCTAGGACTGTAAGGCGATGGCGAGACCGATCTGGCCATGCTATCATTGATGCTCGGCGACCGACCACCGCCACCGGCACCACCACTGCTGCGGAAGTAGTGGTCTGAGCCCGCGCCCGCGCCCCGCTGCGGCTGGACCTGGGCATGGCCTTGCTTGGGCGACATGCCCAGCTGCGTAACCGATCCGCGGTGGCTGGACGGACCGGCGGCATAGACGCTCGGTGAGGCAGCGCGCTGGCCGCCGCCGTGGCTGCCAAACGAGTTGGCGAAGCTTGCGCGGGAGCCTGGACGCGGCGAGACGCTCCGCTGTGGGGCGGGCGAGGCCGCACGCGGCACGTCGCCCGGTCCGCCCCGGGTGCCGGGACGGGACATGGAGCTGCCGTAGCCACCGCCGCCGCCGGAGCCCGGTCTGTCCGAAGAGCTGAAGAGGGAGCGGGTCTGCTGCTGGAACTTTTGCGAGGATTCCTTCATGGCTTTGGAGGTAACTGCCGGCGGGGGGACGCCCAGGCGCTGCACCTGGATTTGCTGGTCGTACGAGGGCGGCGGGGTTCCGCGCATGGCCGCGGCAACTACGCTGTTATTGCTCCCCGGCCCAGTGCCGGTTCGGGGGCGTGGGCTGGCCCCCGGAGCGGGCGTGGCAATGCCGTGGTAGTGGTCTGCAGAGATCCTTCCTGCAGAATTCTTACCCGTCGTGACACCCTTCAGCTCGGCCAGTGCCAGTGCGATGGGGTCATCCTCGGGAGTGGACGGCGCGGCGGCCTGCTTCTGGCGGTCGGGCGTCTCGACAGCAAACACATTCTGCCCAACGTTGAGGGCTAAGCTTGCGTTGGCGGCGATGGGATCCGGGCTAGCACTCCGCTCTGGGCCAATGACTTGGTGATTGTCCTTGGCCGCGGCGAGCTGCGGCCGGCTCTGATTGTTCGAGGGATGCCACGTGTTTCTGTTGTTCGGTGCAATCTCCTTGGTGCTCTTCCGTCGGAAGGGGCTGTGGTTTTGGAAGAAACCACTCTTCTTCTTAAGAACCTTCTTGTCGGGAGATGCTGCAGGAGGCTGTGGCTCTTGCTTGGCCGGCGGGGGTTCCTGGCTCGAAAACGACGTTTCGCTGTGCGAATCTCTGCTAGAGGGTCGCGCAGACGACGTTGACGGCGCGGTGCTCAGGTCGGATGCGGTAGGCCTGCAGAGCATGGTCATGCCGTCCATTGGGTAAGGCTCGTGTGGCACTGGGGCGAACTCGGCCGGGTCATAATCGAGATTGCTGGCCCGAGGAGGCTGATAGCCCCTTGGCGGATCTCTCCTCGGCCGTTGGGTATCCTGCTGTGGCGGCGAGACCATCTTCTGCGGCATCTGGGGGACCATGTCTGCATCGCGACCTTGGGGTGTCCCAGGATCACCGTGTCCGAGGTTTCGAGCCAGTGCCGAGTTGGGATCGTGGTGAGACTCAAATGTCGACGGCTGCGGCGAAGACGAGCGGAAAGCTGGGTTGATGCTTCTTGGGAATTGTGCGACCGAGTAGCTCTCGTCCTCTGACGCTTCCGACTGGGAGTCGACATCGCCGCGGCAAAAATTGATGTACTTTGGGGGATCCGGAATCTCCTGGCCGGTGCCTTTCTCTTTGATGAAGGTGATGATGTCCTTCTCAACCTCCATCTTTTCTAGCGACAGACGGATTTTCTCGCACGACGCATCATCGCTGACACAGACAGTCGAGGCGATGTTTGCAAAAGTCCATAGACTGCTCTTGGTAAAGTCGAGACGCTCCTCTTCGAGGTCCTGGAACTTGTCGGCGGCGGCCTTCCATTCCCGATTCCAGCGGGCGGTGGTTTCCTCGAGCGCCTTGATGGCCGCTTCGTATTCGGCATTGGATGTTGCCAGGCTGATTTGCGTCTTTTCGAGTTTCGCCTTGTTCTTTCTCTCTTCCTGGCCCATGACCATGTGTCCCTGTGCTAGATAGCCTTTGATCTTGAGGCACTCTTGCTCGTAGCGGTCTCGGGTCTGTGTTATGTCAGTGCGTGTCAGCTAGTAATACTCATCTCCAGGGGGCTGCCACCCACCTTGTTGACTAATTGAGTCTGTTGAATCTTGGTCTTGAGCAGCTTCTCAACCGTGTTCTGCACGATCTTGCGCCTCTCCTTCATGCCACCGGCAAAGGCGGCTAGCGGCTCCTCCAGCTCGCTCTTCATCTGGGCAGCGATGTTCTGGTGCTGCTTAGCCATCGACTCGACCTCGCCGCGGACAACGTCGAGCGAATGTTTGAGCGTGCCTATCTCGTGTGTCCCCAGCGACTTGCGGCAAAGCGACATGAGCTTGCGAGCATATTCGTCCTCAATTGATGCGCGCGCTGTCCGGCGTTGGAAGTCGTATAATCAGCTACCGCTTTTTGCGACATCAAACATAGTAGAGAACAAGAACACAATGCTTACCGCTGTAAAAGGCGCGCAGTTCGTCGCATGTTTGCTTTGCATTGTGCATGCGCTGGAGGAGCGGTTCGACGCCGGCATCGTCCTTGCCCCAGAAGTTGTTGGCGACTGCTCCCCAAGTTAGCCTCGAGCCATGACACCGGGACAGTTGCACAATCGTCTCATTGTGCAAGCGTCGCTATGACTTCATACAGGAAAGGGCGACGGCCGGTCCGTCGGTTGCAGCAGCCGGCATTGCGCCTTACGGGGTCAGAGCGGAGCCGGGGATTTTCGACAAGGACGGGGAAAATGGAATCAAAAGCGAAAAGGAAAACCCCAGTTTCAAGATGACTGTCAACGAAACTTGTCGTGATGGTGGTCGTCTCCAAATTCGCAATCGCCAGCGACGGAAAACAACACCGCGGCTAAAGAGGGCAGTTCAAATTGAGAACCGGTTGGGAGAGAAAATGGTTGTGTGGCACAATCTACTCTGTTCATGCAGCAGCAAGCAGGTGTTGGCTTGTTGACTTTCGGAGCTGCTGAGATCGGGGCTGGTGGTTGCTAGGGCAACAGCGCTGCCTCGTCCTCTCGAGCCGCCGGGCTGCATTCATCGATCAGCCTGCATCCGATCTTGACAATGGTTCCAACCCCACATTGGTCGCATCTTTGCCAATGAAGTTTGAGCTTAAGCAACATTCCAGCTGAAAAGTAACGCTAACGTCAATCTTGTTCGCTTGTTTGCCTTGATCGTTCTTTGTGGCATCGAGGTTATCCACAAACTTGGCGCTTCGCAATATCAACACCAAGCACAGCACGCTATGTACCATTAGGAGCCGCAGATAGTTTGACTTTGAAGGAACCACATGTCGCGCAATCTGAAAACCCGTTCACTTCCTCTCAGATGCCCGAATGGTCACGTCTCCTCCCTTCTCCTCAAGTTCAGTATATCGCTCAACCTAACCAACCCTTTTGCTCCCCAGCCAGCCTGACCGCTCTCCACATCAGGCCTCACCGCAATATACCATGACCAAGCCCTCCTGTCCAGCTCGGCAACACCGAGGTGATCGGCCCAGCTGTCAAAAACGATCCTCAGAGCACCCAGCAACAAGCCCAGATTCTCCTCCTTCTCGGCCGCCATGGCCTTTTGTGTGCTAAGTTTCTTGGACCCCTTAGTAGGAGTAGTACTATCCCCCGCCTCCGTTGACGGGGCACTAGGGAAACTGCGCAACAAATAGGCCCTAGCGGCCTCGGGTCTGTGGATCTGCATTCCAACGACGCCCGTAACCTGGTGTGCCTTGGTGCCGCTGCCGTAGCCGCCCACGGTGGCTTTGGTCCTCGTGCTGTCCAGATCGAGACCCCAGACGGCCTCACCGCCGAGCTGCACGTCGGCGCCCGTCTTGCGCAGCCGCTCGCTCAGCGCCCCGGCGACACAGTTTCGCATCAGGCGCCACCGGTCGGGGCCCAGCAGGGCGCCGCCGAACCAGCGCGTCAGCACGACCAGCGTGTCGACGGCGTTGGCATCGCGCATGACGCGCAGCATCAGGTCGCCACAGCCCGTTTCGCCGTCGTCGAACGACTCCTCCCGCAGCCTGGTATGGCTGCTGCCTTCGGGCGGCCGTAAACGGTAGGCCCATGCGTTGTGGGTGGCGGATCTGAGACTGGGGACGGAGTCGAGAAGCGACTGCATGAGGAATTTGCGCTGGGAAGGGTCGCTAATGTGGGTGGCGCGAGCGATGAAGGTTGAGTCTTTGAGGGAGATTGGTTGGCTGACTGCCCAAGAGGCTTTTTGCGTTGGCTCGAAGGTGACGGTGGCCGATGATGTTTGGGTCTCTGTTTCGGCGCGTGTTTCCGTGAGCGTGCCCGACCCCTTGGCGCTCTCTCCCAGCTGCTGTTGCTGCTGCTCGCCCACTTTCTCCTCGCCCCGCCACTCATAGCCTCCCCTCTTCAGCACCGCAACCTCCCTCCCCATAACCTTCACGCGCGGTTGGCCCTCGCCCCAGCCTTCCTCGTCAGCACTCGGGCCCTTTTCTAGTCCGATACTGACGGCTTTTGACCGCGAGTTGGCGCTGACGACGGCTTGGGCCAGACTGAGACGGCTCGAGAGAGGTTGCTCGGGCATGGTATACCGCAGCAGCTCGACTGCAAAGGCTAGCACAAGCGGCGCTCTGTTCGTCTCTATCACTGTCTGAGAGATGCGGTCCTCGTCCATGCACAGCGGCAGCTCCAGTGAGCGCTCCAGCTCTTCCGGAGTCATTTCTACGGGGCCATTCATGAACAGGTCGTCCTTGGTCCGCTTTGCCGAGCGGCTCGTGGCCGGCTCGGGCAACCCACGCTTGTTGCCACTGTCAGTAGCGGCGGCGGACCCGCGCTTTAGAGCTGCTTTGCAAGCGTTGTGCAGCGCCTTGGCGGCCTTCTCGTCTCCAATGGCCGACTTGACTGTGTCCAGCGTGGATTCTGCTATTTGCTTGACGCTGCGGGCCCGCATGAGCCTCCTTCGTTCTGGCAAACCAACCAGAAAGGAGGGATGTAACCGTGCAAAGCAGACGACGGGCTTACCTGCGCAGGTCGGCAGCCTGCAGCGCCTTGACTTGGGTCATGGCCTGCATCATGGGCATTTTGCGGACCACTGTGAGCAGCCGTAGGAGCTCCTGTAAGTCCTGCTGTGTTGCCATCATGGCGATATTCTAGGTTTGTATGCTCAGCTGTAGTCGAGCTTGTGTGTCATCGGTAGTTGAAAGTTGAAAGTGGTGATGTTGAATAAGCCAAGCCCCTGCCACGGAGCTGGAAACGAAGGCCCAATGAAGACGAGTTACAGCTGCCAGCCGCCCCACCCAGCCTGCTGCATCCCATTTCACCAATGCAATGCAGACATTTGTGGGCCTAAAAAGGTCCCAATCCCAGGGGGCTGCAGCAGCTGCGATCCATGATACTTCCGAGATCGCGCGACAACTGTTAGTGCATGGAGCCGAATTTCGAACCATAAGGTACTTCCACTCTTGACAAGACTCCGGTCTAGGGTTGTCCCGTAGGCCTGTAGGAGTCCTGACGCCCTGAACCGTTACTACGGCTGGGAGAACCGGGTAAAAGTTCGAGGTTGTCAGGAGGTTCCCCCAGTCAGATACCGCGATGGCATCGCGACTCCGGATAGTGATACCACACCACTTGCAGCTCCCTCGACCACTGCGCTGCCCTCACAACAACTGGCACACAACCCGGAATTTCACACAGTCAGCTAAGAAGTTCCAAGCTTCTCCAAGAGCCAGCAGCCCAAGGACATCATCATCATCATCACCACCATCATCCTCATCAAAAGCCGAATCCATAGACGTCCTCTTTCAACAACGCAAATGGCCCCTCGTCGGCGCGGGCTGTGCAGCCCTGGTGCTAGGCCTGTACCTGTCGCTGCTGCTTTCCTCGTCGCTCAAGAGAAAGCAATCTCCATCCCCATCCCCGCCCGCCTATGACCCCAGCCTTGATTCCCACCATCACCACCACCAGCAGGATCCTTACTCGAATCACCCCAACCAAGAGCAAGATGAACAGCAATTACCAGTCCCCACAGGCCTCCCGGCCACGCTGGACACCAGCACTCCCGAATCCGCCCACCTCACCGCCACCTCCTTCGACAAGGGCCTCAACCTGGAGGAAGCCTTCATGGGCATTTCCTCGCTGCGCAAGGAGCTGGCCAGGCGCGCGCGCGGCCATGTACTCGAGGTGGCCGTGGGCACGGGGCGGAATCTGCGGTACTACGGGTGGGACGACCTGGTGGCGCTTTCCAAGACTTCTTCTTCAAAAGTGGGTGCCGGTGTGGACGTTGAGGGTAAGACGTTATGGTGGGGGTCGTTCTCATTCTTATGGGCAGGTGAAAATGGCAAGGAGAAGAGGGGGAAGGCTGCCGAAGGCGGCGACGGTGCGGCAGTAGGTTCTCGCGAGGGGGAGGTGCTCAGCTTCACCGGGGTGGACGTGTCCGGGGACATGCTTGGCGTCGCGCGGGACCGGGTGCGGGAGGCGGTTCCCGGGCTGAAGAAGCTTATGCGGCGGAGGCGGCTGGAGCCGATGCCCACCCTGGGCAAGGGAGGAGGGGACAAGCACGATGAGGAGGAGGCGGTGGTGGTGGATGCGCTGGACGGGAGGGTCAGGCTTGTGCTGCGCGACGCCCTGAAGGGATTGCCTCAACCGCCAATTCTACCGCCTACTACTGCTACGAATCCGACGACGGACGCGCCGGAAAAGTACGACACCATCGTCCAGACGTTTGGCCTGTGCAGCGTGGCCGACCCGCGCAAGTTGCTGGCCAACATGGCGGCCAAGGTGCAGCCCGACACGGGCCGCATCATTTTGCTGGAGCACGGCCGCGGCTCGTACGACTTTGTCAACAAGAGACTGGACAACAACGCCATGTGCCACTTTCAAAAGTACGGCTGTTGGTGGAACAGGGACATTGAGCAGCTGGTGAGGGATGCAACCCAAGAAATTCCCGGTCTCGAGGTGGTCAACCTGGAGAGGCCGTTGCTTCTTCAATGGGGAACGATGCTGTTAATTGAGCTGAGGGTGAAAAGCTAGAGAGGGCGAGGCTGAAGACGGCGTAAGCACAGCCGGCGCTATCCACTTGTACTTCCCCAGAAGGGCGCTGTAAACTATCTTGTGTAATCACTGGACGATGCAACGTGTAGGAGATAGACTAGTCATCGCCAGAGCTAGAAGCACCTAATATGTGCGGAGTGTATTACGTGACACTGCTGAGCCCGTTCCCAACTGAGGCCTGCTCGCCTGTGCGAGCATGGAATAGTCATGCCGTGCGGCTCTGTAGAGTCATCACCAGGTTGTAGAGACAAATTCTATGATTGGAGAGTGGTTCTATTCCCTTCCGTCCTATCCAGCGCCGGCCTTCGGTACACTGCACTAGGACGGTAACACACTTTGTCCGAACGGAAGCTCTTTTCTATCCCGTCTGTCCAAGCGCCATCGCCAGGCACAACTCCTCTTTTGGGACAGGAAACATACTCGACCAACTAGTCGAGCACACTAGGGGGGTTGTTGTGTTACAAATACAAGATTCGAGCTTCGAGGCCGTTCTCATCCAGGCCATTTCAATTCGCCTGACAGTCTTCGTTTTATGTGCTTTTCCTCTCACCCGCATTTTTGTTATCCATTTTCCCCATCCGGATATCACCAGCGAGCATCCCATTCAAGTTCCGCTTCTCTATGGATGGGAACGTGGCAGCCACCCCAACGTGGAACAGCAAAATCAGGACCAGATGCCGTCGCCGCCCGTTTCCCTCTCATTCTCAGAACGCCACTCGCAACCCATATCAGCTAAGTCATAACGCCGTGAACCTAGCCTCGTCTATGGGATGACCTGGCCTGGCCGTGATCCCCGTATTTAAACCGCATAAGGATAGAAATAACAGTAGAAGAAGAAATCATAACAAAGCTACCGGTACCACCCTGTGCAGCTTTTTCATCGTACACTTGACGGCGTTCCCTGCGCCATTAGTAATCATCCAAGAGCCCATCGAGCTCGTCGAGCTCAATGTTCTCCGGACTGCGGTCCCACTCCAACATGCCATCTAGCTTGGGCCAGCTATCCAGTTCGCCCTCTTTCCTCCCGAAGGCGATAGAGACTGCGGAAGGGCGAATCGCGGGACTGGATACGAAGGAGATGCCGCTCAGGTTGCCGACCGACATGACACCAAACAGCGAGCTTTCGTCCCTTTCGAGATCTATGCTCACCGTCTGGTCGCTTGGCGGCTCGCCACCCAGCTTGCGCTTTTGCAGGCGCTTCTGCAGACCGTCGGCCGTCTGGGTGAACTCCTTTTCATCCTTCTCTAGTGGCGGCGATGCCCCTCGGTGGTTGCGCCCAGACTCGCCGTGTATGAGGCGTGGCGGGGGCATGTAGAAGCCCCCGCGGAGGGAGAAGGAGCCGATTGGGGTGCTGGGCATGCCAAAGTCGTCATCCATGTCGTCGAGCTCCGGGCTTGACAGGTCGACCTCGGGACTCGGGCTGAGTTCGCGCCGCCTTTCCAGGTCGGACTCTTCAGCCGAGCTGGACCCCGCGCTCGACGGACTGGGTGAGACAATGGTTCGGCCGTGAATGAGATGATCGGGCGACGCAGCCTGGGCCGGGTCGGGTAACGGTTGGCGGGGGCAAGTGGTCAAATAGAAGTATGTGCGGCGGGGATGAACCGACTCCAGCTCCTTGGCTAGCGGGCATGGGGCTAGGGCCGACCAGCCCGGGCGCTTTAGGTAGGTCGCTAGCCGGGACGAGATGATGGCGCACGGGTTTGCGGATCTGTACCCATCAATGTGAGCGGATGCTATCAGGTGGCGCTGGGCCTAGTCAGCTGGGGAGCTTACTGCTGAACCACTTTCAGTTGCTGCAGCAAAACTGCAGCCAACTCCTTCACCAAATGAGGGCGATTCCCGGTATTTTGCAATCGTGTGATGACAGCCTCAACTATTTCATCATTTATACCTTCCAAATCCATGACCTTGGGAACCGGATCTTCGTCTCCCATTTCGACGGAGGGCCGCTCGGCGGGCGGTGAGGGTGGCGGAGTGTTGTCGAGCTTGGCCGCACCGTCGCGGCTCCGGGGCAACCGCTCCAAAGTCGGCGCGTCGTCGGACTCTTCGCTGGCGCCTCGTTTTAACTTTTTTGCTGGAGGTTGGTCATCTCTTGAGAGCGATGCTGGCGAAGCCATGGATACCGGAGAGGCGCTGGTCGGAGAAGCTCGATTCGTGGTGGAGGCACGGGGGGTCTGTGTTCCAGGGACTCGAATGCCCAGTGTCTGCAGCGACACAGTCTTGTGACGGGTGTTATAGGGTGGCATGGCTGCGAGCGGTGCAAATGCAAACCGAAAACGAGATGGGCGATTGATTTCCGACTTGTAACAGGCCCGTTACTCTCCGCTATGCTATGCGCTCCAAACAACGTTTGTACGATTGGATTCTGGTGTTGCTGGGAACTCCTTTATGCCGCGCCAAACCCAAAACCCACGATTTGGGGTGTGTAAGTCCCCAAGCTAACAACAATCTCCTCCACGAGTGCCAAAGACAAAACCCTTTTGGCGTCAAGAGATGGGAAGCAAGACCACAAATAAGGATATCAACGAACTAGATAAAATTTGGGGATAAAAAACAAACAGAAAAAGGCGGGCGGAGTGTTCGGAAACGGGGGAAGGGGAGGCGCAAGGGAAACTGCCGTAACTTTTTTTTCTCTGCCGTTTTAGAGGGAAGTTCGACGGCCGGGTGCGTTTGGCATGATGGAAGGGGGGCGACGCCTTCGATGCCAGTACCCACCTGAGGCTGCCAAGACTGGAAGGCGGGTGCGAACGGGAAGCCAACCACAAGCGCAGGTTCTGACAGGGGGATGAGGCAGGCCCCACAAAATTTTCCAACAGACGGCAAGAACCCACTTTTGGCGGCTTTTGTTGGACTTTGAGCTCCCGAATTTTTGAGTGGGTGCAACAGTGCAAGTGCTGCTGCCTCCAAAACATCCCAGGCCCACCGTGGAGAGAGCTGCGAGGAAACAGCGTGCATGCGAGAAAACCTGCGAAAGCATGCAGACGGCTCAGCTGGTGTCATTCAAAGGCAATCTCACATGCAAGATTCCACAATACGGTAACTATGTACGGTATGTATTTCATTTGTCAAACGCCCGTTCAGCAGTTCCTTATAGCAAACAAGCTCGCGAGGCCAATGGGCAAGAACCCCAAGCTGAAGAGGCAATAGGTAGTGAGGAGTCCGCTCCGATAGCATCCGAGCTTCCGTCATCGTGGAGCCCTTTGGTTTTAGACGGTTTACTGCTTGCGGCGTGCGCTCTGAACGGTGACATCAGCACCTCGATGATCAACGACGCTGTCCTATTTGCATGTTTAGATCTGTATTTGCTGCGCTGTGCGATACTGTAAAGTATCTTACCGTAGCCAATACTTAATTTTCTCAACTCTTTAAACGTTTTCATGTTCCAGTTTTCTAGCCGAGCTCTCTGCTGTCGTCCCGAGCTTTGCAGCCCCACACCTCTCTTCTCACCGCCCGCACTGTTCGCCTTGGTCGTTTCCATGGTCACGGCGCGACATCCGAGTAAATACATCCCGCCCTCGCGACAGGAACTTGACCTTACTCCAGTTTGTTCTTCCAAGGACGGAGGGGTATAAAAGCAGAAAGGGAAGAAGAAATGCCTTGCATAGTCACCAGCCAATGTGCTTAACTTTAGCCCTAATCACGTTCAATTCTTCCAATCCCCAAAAGCAAGCTCCTCCCTGGAAAGCTGCGCAGAAGGGGTTGACGTTAGCGTTAGACGGCGGGCGTGCACAAGCCAAGCCATCCAGCCGTTGCCGCGGCACACGGCTGGTCGGCCTAGGACACTTGCGGTAAAATGCGTTCGACGAGAAGAACCAATTGCAGAATCATGCTCCCTTCGATTTCTTCTTTCCGTACTGGCTCCCTTCAGAAAAAAGAGCTTCCCCTCCCCGCTCGGACGATTTTCGCTCTTCTTCCGCGTTCCACGCCAGACTCCATACGGTAACGTTACGGTGTCTTTTTTTTTCGCGCTCCCTCGTGAGCCCGGGCAGGAAGACCCTCCTCGTTCCACCAAGAAGCACGCTAAAAACACGCTTTACGCTACAACCCACCCCCTTACCGATTCATGAGCACTGAGCAAGTTCCAGCGACGGAGACGGAACGGACGGCCCCTGATTCAGGTCTTCGAAAATTCGGTCAGAAACTCTCCCTTTGTAAGGAAAGAGCGAGGATACCAGCCATACACCAATCTTCCAGGAGCCTGCAGAGTGCAGGAGATATGCAAAGTTGCAAACGCTCTGACATAGCGGGTCCTGTGTCGCCCATTCATCGCCTTGGATTGTTGATGGATGAATGTCCTTCCCCAGTTTGATCCTTCCCCAAAAGTGCAGTGCGCACCTGCCACCTGCAGGATTCCCATCCTGGGTGCAACCTCCCATGAACGAACTTCACCGCCTTCTTTGACCGCCTCACCACCGCCTGCCTTCTTGATCTCTTTACCATAGGTAACATCGAATCGGGGTTGCTCCGGATACCAAACATTCGGCACCAGCAACCATGTAGTTTAAAGTATGAACTGGCGATATGCCGCCGGTGCATTTTGCGAATAGTTATCGTGACGCCGCTAGTTAGTAGTTCGGAATACAGTGCGCATGCGCTGCGGAAAAGTTCATCTTGTAGAAACTACGTAATATATTGTGGAATAGACTTCATTTCCTCGCGCGAAGAGAAGTTACTACGAGTTGAAGGAATGCCACAGGACTCGAGTGAGCAAACAAATCTCTCCTACCCTAGCACTCCTAGGCTTCATGACTCTCATCTCCTCAATCCCGCTTTGACCAGAGCAATATCAGAGTACCTCCGTACGTCAAAGGAAATTGTGGAAGTCAACTCGAAATCGAGAAGGGGTAGAGGCAAGACGTAGTTATAGGTTAGTTGTAAGGTAGCATCAGGAGGTGTAGGGTAACTAAAATTGGGTAAGAGACAAGAGGGAACTGAGATGTGTAGGCGAGTACTCGGAAACACAGCAGGGGGAAAACAATGATGGACACTCTCAATCCTCATCATCCAGCATACCCTTTTATCGCATATGGCCTGATTTTAATAATAATACAATACAAAGCTACCTTCGTGTCTTCGATATCACCTCCGGTGGGCCAGACCAGACCAGATGATACCGGAGCAGAAGAGAAAGCAGTGGGACCAACTTCAACCCGAGCCGTCCACTATGTCCCCGTTCCTGATCTCCTATTCCTGTAGCATCAATTATTTCTCTACCTTTCCCCAACGCCATTCCCATGATATATCGTCTAAGCACCGTCCCGCTAGAGGAAAAGGGGAAAGCGCTTTGTAAAAATGCATGTGCCGCGCCCGTTAATGGTTCATCGCCCGCAAAATGTCATTCTCGCCCTCCAGACCATCGCCCGTTAGAGGGCAACCGAAGTGTCCAGAACCATTACTACGTCCGCCTCCATGTCCCGTTCATAAACCGTTCGTCGAGTATGCTTGCTCTATGATGCTGCACGCAGAATCGCCGCGAAGCGTTCAGCAACCTGATGTCAAGACGTCAGCTTTGGCCCAAAGTACTATTGGAGTGTAGGATCGGCTTACCTCTGGAGTTGCCTTGATGAACGGCAATTCAAAAAACTGGTATTTGTCGTTGCGGAGCAGCTCGAGCGTCGTGATCATCAGACCCCATGGCTGTGGCCAGTAGCCCACTAGCCTTTCAAGAAGGATGCGCACAATCTGCTGACGGATGTCCGTCTCCTCCGGATCTGAGAGGTCATGACCAAAGATTTCGAGGAGCGCATGGCTGAAGTAGTTGGTTGACGCGTTGGGGAAGCGAAGCTCGTTTATCATGCTGCTCAGGAGGTAATACCTCGCTTCAGGGGAGAGCTCAGTGACGAGCATCTGCAGCGTCTTGAAGTCCGCAGCCCCGGCAATAAAGATGGGAGCATCACTCTTGGAGGCTGCGCGGCTGGCGGCAAAGTTGGCAACATGCCCCACCACGGCATCAATGACCCTCCGGTTGACCATGACTGGGACGAAGCCAAAGATCGATGCCTCTTCGTCGACCTTATTGATCGCGTGGCCAATCTGAGCGATGGCATCTTCTGATGGACCATGCTGCAGAGTCTGCTCCAGGATATCGAGCAGGCCAATTTGGCGAAGCATCCCAGAAGCATCATACGAAGTAGAAGGCGCTTCTCTCATATCTGGGATCCTGTCCACCTTGAGTCCTGGCTGGAAAGGATCGGCCTGCTTATTGAAGGAAGGGGGGCTCGCCGCGAGGATCAGATTGATGAGCTGCGTCGCATGGGGCGGCAGACTCTGGCACAGCTGCACATGAGTAGCTGCAAGAAACTCGGGGAAATCATGATGAAGAGCGGCTAGCAGCTTCAAAACTGCCTGGTACATCGCCTTTGCCAGGTCCGAGACGTTGAGTGGCTTGAGCAAGTCACCCAAGTATGAAAGAAATTGAGTCAGCAGCTTTGTGTACGGCGCCCAGCCTGCTTCGTGGGGCAGCCGGAGGATAACAGGCTGGAAGCAGCGGTGGGCTAAGAGGCTTGCAAATCCGTACGCGAACCCGGGATAGAGGCTCGGTTGTAGATTCGAAAACCGGGCCGCGAATCTCAGGAGAATCTGCTCGCACTCGGTCTCGGGCAGCAGGTCCACTAACTCTGCGACTTCATGGAGTAGATCCGAAAAGAAGCGGAAAAAGACTCGCTGGTTGAAGTTCTCTCCGCGTTTGACGTGGTGGTCGTTTAGAATCAAGACCCCGAGAGATACAATGCTGTCCAGGAAAGCAACCGTCAACGACTGATCGGCGGCCTCATCGTCCTCCCGGTGAACCTTCGCGAATATGATAATCATCCGGACCAGAGCATCGACTGCCTGGTAGGCTTCTGACAGGCTGCGGCCGGACTGTATGCTCTGTTCAAAGCGTTCGACGGACTTGTCGAGAGCTTGACGAGTGAAAATAAAGAAGTCTTCTTTGGTGGATACTACTCGCCGCGCATTCATCTGCTGCACGAAGATCATGGCAGACCTGTCCGTGGCGAAGAAGTTGCTGCAGAGGTGGATCCATTCATCGAACACGTAGTCCATCTGATCTTGCTGAATGGCGGCGATTTCCTCCTTTGAAAGACCGGCTGGCAGCTCTGGCAGCGGGGCAAGCACCTTGGCCTTGAACCGCTCTCCTGCCGGGACGCTCGGATCCTCAGTTATCCACGACCATGCCTCCTCCAGGCTCTGCACAAAGTCAGCATAGAGTGCAAGCGGGCTGTCGTTGAGGAGGGTAAGATCCATCAGCTGTTCCAGAAACTCGATGGATCCCTCCTTTCGCTGCTCCAGTGCCTTTGCCATTGCTATGTCGATGTTTCGCCAGTTAAGCAGATCTGTACCAAGCAAGGCAGCGATGAGAGGCAGGTGGAGGAACACGTGTCCGGGTTGTTGGTGGAATAGATGGCGGATCTGTTCGCTGAATCCGGCTCCTGCAATCTTTCGAAGGCTCTCAAGGACGTGAACCAAGCTCTCCAGCAGCAGGCTGCCCTCGGGTTGCCGGAAGAGGAGCTGGACAATCTGTGTCGCAGCGTACCCGACAAAATCCTCGGACGTTTGCTGCGTCTTGATAATGAGTTGTATGAGGGCGTCGATAAGATCCAAGATAGCATGGCCCCTGGAAAGGTCAGTGAAATGCTCTTCAGGGGTGCTGGAGGCGGCGGCGGCCAGCTGCTCCAGGAGCTTGTTGACTCTTTCAGCGACGGTTCTAGAGTCGATCTGGTTGAGTCCGGGCTGTCGACTATTCGCCAACCCTACATGAGTCTGGGGATAGTGCTGGAGCTGCACGCCTAAATGGGGCATCGATGGGGTCTCGGAAGGCGTCGGCATGCTGGTGACGGCACTATACTGATCGCCGAGGACCTCATTGGCGAGAGCCCTACCGTCCGAGGCGGATGGGACATGGGAGGGAGCGGTGGAGGCAGCATTTACCCTCGACTGCCGGGCAAAGTCGTCGTAAATGGCCATTTGTTCAGCGTTAAGACCGCCAAGGTTAGGTTGGAGCTTGAAGGGGTGCGGGATCGTCATTGCCCAGCGGCTGAGTGTGTTGGGGTCATAGTAGGGTTCGGACGGCCTTTGGAGTCTGTGGCGACGTCGCGCTTCTAGCTCGCCCTCCATAAGATCCTCTATTTCCGGAACTGCACGTTCTTCTGCCGATTTCTCTATCACGCTTGAGGCCAGGTCCAGGTTGGAGTTGACGCAAAGCATGATGATGCCCTCTGGCAAACCCTGAGGCAGATCAGTCGAGAGGTTGCGTAAGTAATTGGCAAAGTTCGCGCGCAACGGCTCTTTGGAGGTCACAAGGGCCAGGCTACCGGCAGTAGACTTGACCATATTGATCGCCGCTGTCCGTACCCGGTTCTCATCCGGTTCAGTGGCGAAGTCCTTGCGGACCATTTGGTGCGTGGAGATCGCCGCGATTGTGACGGATCTGTCGACGACAGGCTGGATGATGTCTTGCAAGGCGCGTGTCAACGCTTGACGGACGATTTCATGCAGCTTGGGAGCGCTGACAACCTCGGTCTGAGGAATTGTCAGGCTTGGGCCGAGATCCGGGATCACAAGGGCAGGATGGGCCGAGAGGGAGCTGCTGACGCCTGGCATTCCGTTGAGAGACATGCTCTCAAAGTTGTCAATCGTCTCAGGTCCTAAGATGTCGCCCATTTCTTCGACGGGCGCCCTGTTGATGATCTCCCCGGAAGGTTCAATGGCTTTGTGGTCCAGATTGAGGCCCTTACACAATACCTCAATTTCGAACTTCAGATTCAGCTTGAGCTCGGCATTGTGATAGAGCTCAATCAGGAGATGGATAATGTCCATCAGCCAAGGATTCGGCGGTCTGAAGACAGTCGAGTTTGCGCTCTGGATCAAGACTTTGCACACAAAGGGGATTACCACAATCAGGCGCTTGGTATCGTGAGCTTCGATGAGAAGCTGCTTGAACGCGATGTTCTTCTGCTTGATTGGCTTGTCGCGTGCTAGGGTCAAAAGGCCGAGCCAGCCGCCGAGGTTCTTCAAATGCGTTCTCTCGGTCGAGTTTTGCATAGTCAGTTCAGAGTTGAGCATGCGCTGGACGCTGATATAAGTCTCCCTCAGAACCTCCGCCCACAGCGCCTTGTCCTCAAACAGCTTGACGAGCTCCAAGTAGACATGATGGTAATTTGGTTGCATTTTGGCCCGCATCTCAACCAGATGGCTGGCGAACCACTGCTGATGCTTCGCCTCCATCATTTCGCGAAGCTCTTTGAACATGGATTGGAGCGTCGTGTCAGTGACATTGTTGAGCACAAACTGTATCTTGCCTTGGACTTCGACACTCGGATCTTCGTAGGCCATCCCCGGAGGCGGAGGGTCGACGTTCACGGACGCAAAGGGAGGCGGGTGCTGCTCAGACGCCAAGCTGTCGTCCAGATTGCCGTTGGTCAGCTTGTCGTTGCCCAGGATTCCTGAATGTGCGCTACCGGCTCCGTTGCGGGAGCGGGCAAGCTCCTCTTCATGCTCGCGAACCGCCTCCTCCGCCTTCTTCCAGGCCTCGGTCCCCTGCAGACCAGGGACCTGGAGAAGCTGCTTGCAGAAGCCCGGCCACTCACGGAAGCGAGAGAACAGCTGCATGAGAGCCTGTAACCCGAATTTGTACATCGACTCATCGGGATGGTGGTCCTTGACGGCTTCAAGAATCATGCCCAAGCCGATTTGAAGTGGAAGATCCGAGATCAGTTTGTGGGATATTATGCCACCAAATAGAACCGCAGTGGTAGCCAGCGCCTCGAGCGGGTAGTCAACGTAATGTGCATACTCGTCGAATAAGCCGTGAATCATGCATGCAAAAACGTCCTGGTCCAGAGGATCGCGAGAGCGCTTGTACCGCTCGAGGATCTGGACGATATCGCGAACCTGAATCTCGTCACTGTACATCCTCTTGTAATGTTCTTCCATCTTGGCGTTGGCAGCAGGCGGAAGTGCGTTGCCATCGCGGCCGTTGGCATCAATGATATCGTCAAAGCCCTCTCCGTAGTTGATCAAGCGCGGGTACATCGTGATGCATGTTCTTTGCACCACGATCAACTCCGGTACAGGTGTTTTTGGCAGGAAGTCCTGTAGGATCTGGAGCAGCTGATAGACTGTCTTGACCTGCAGGGTAGTGCTCGCCTTGACCGGCGGATGACCATCCGGAGGGCGCTGATAACCATGTTCGAAGTTTGCTTTGATCATCAAAAACTGGATGAGAGCCCGGGCCATTTCCGTACTCCGATCAGCATTTCTCCGCGCCCATTGCTGCAGGTCGAGGTATCCTTCAGCATGTGCAAAGGCGGCCAGATCAAGCCCGAACCCGTTGGGAAGATAGACAAGCTCATCGAGCCAGTTTTGCCGAACCGCGTGTTCAAAGATTAGCGGCAGGCTGATGGGCTTCAGAACATGAACGTCTATCAACCTCTGCTTCACCCACTCCTTATCCCTCCTCCAAAGACTGTCCATCACAAAGTCAGCCTCAGGCGACCTGGCCAGGAAGCCATCGAACAAAGACACTAGCGTTTCTTCGGCCATTGTCGGCCAGGGTTTGGGGACTCCGAAAGCCGAGACGACGAAGATGGCTAGGTTCGGGACGACCACATCCTGGAAGAGACGCTTGGCTTCAGTGCTCTGTGAGGCATGCATCGAATGGAGCGCAACGTTGAAAACGGCAGACAGGGCCGCCTCGGACACCAGGGGGTGCTTGACGGCATATGCGGCGGTATCTCTTATTGACTGATGCGATTGAGCGTACTCATCAACCGTGAATGTCGGTTTCAGGCCCGGAATGGTGGTCGCATCCAGCTGCTCCGGGCTTAGAGACGCGAATGCGCAGATGAAGGAAAGTTGTGTTTCGGGGTTCTCCCACTCGCCACCCCACAAGCGCTGAATATTGAACTCAGAGCTGTCCTCCCGCGCTATCGGCACCAAGGCATTGTACAGGCGTAGGAACTGGTCACGCGTGATCCGAGCCCCTCCATGATCAAAGTACGATACCACATCTTGCCACCTGAAACTGTCGGGCAGGATATGCCGGAGCGCGGCAACGAAGACTGAAGGGTTGTGACGAGGCGTCAGACTGATGGTGGTATACGTCAAAGCCACGGAGACTTGTTCCTCGGTAAGCTGGATGTTAGGTGGCCGGTTCTTGAGGAAGTTCACGCAAGTCTCCTCGTCGACGGTGAAGGCGGGCCCGGTCCTGTGAATATATAATGCAAGTGCGTTTGGGGGCTTGTCAGCCAGGACGCGGATCAGGTCGAGTGCCGCAAGCACCTGGGAGGGGGGCGGCTTGGCTTCGTTGGACTGAGCATATCGCTGCTGCACCTTGTGTTCCAATTCCCGTTTCGCTGCGGCGTTGAAGTTGGGAGGGTGGACTTGGATGAAGCGGTCGATTAGTTCGGCGACAAAATCAGGCTCAAGATCCGCACGATCACCAGGCGGCCTGCTTAGGATATTAACAAATGTAGGGAAATTGGTTGAGAGGATGGCATCGGCTAAGAGACAGCGAGTCGGAGTCAGCAAAGCTTGTCACAAGAGCTTGACACGGCGTCACGGCGCCCACCTTTGGTTTTCAAGTCGGTTCTGGGGCCGAGCTTGAAAGCAAGCGCCAGCAGCGTCTTCCCAAGAGCGTCCAGCTGGAAATGCTCCATGAAGGTGGAGAGATCGAAATCGCGAAAGATGTCCTCGGTGCCAGTCTCAATAGACTCGGCAATTTTCCTGGCCTGGGGAAACTCGCGAGTAATCTTTCGCATCTCTGCCTCGAGGAGATGATGGTTGCCCGGGTTTGTTACAGGCCTGTTGAGGCCCGGGAATATCTGGGAGGCATTTGCGGCCACCAGTCGCGCGAAATACTTTGTATACACATCCATGCCGTGTTCATCTATGAGCTGGAATTGTGGCAGGCAAGAAGTCAGCACTACGACATAGTGCTGCAGGAAGGCGGAAAGACGGAGATGGCGGCACAGTACCTTCTGCAGAGATTCTATCCGTGATTCCCACTTGCGGGGATCGTCCTTGTCCTCCTTGATGGTGCTCAGAAGCACATAGACCTGGGCGACTGCTATCTTGGTCAGGGAGTTTGACCCAGTGGGGCTGCTGGTACTGGGGCTGGCACCCGCACTCAGCGCACCAGCGTGAGAAGGATGGGGAGAGTGGACAGTGCCAGTGTAGATGGGCTGCGCGGCTGAACTGGGCGAAAATGTTCCTGGTCTGGGTTGAGGGACCATGGATTACCAAGAGAGAAGGGGAAAGGAAGGGCGACGCTCCTATCCACTGCGCGGACAGAGCCACTTCCTTTCGGCTTTGGTTTGGGAAGGGCAGGACGGGGACGGGGAGGAGGGGGAATTGAACGGGCTGCGAGGCGCGAAAACGATCTGCTCAAGAATCGGCGGGGCGGCGTCCGGCGTGTCGATCAGGGCAGAGCTTTCTCGGACCAGTGCCCAACTAACTGAATTGTCTGGTGGTCTGTAGGTGACGGAACCGGCGACGCTTCACGAATCTTGATGGATTGGTTCTTCGTTCGGGGCCAAGTCAAGCGGTGCGAGATGTGCTTTTTTCGGCTGTGAAGTCGACGGAAAGAAATGGGTCGCTCAGAGCTAAGTCTGGGCCCCGGGCAGAGGTCCGTGCGGGGGTGCCTGGCTTTCCTTTGCAACCATGGCCTTTCCGCCCACGCTACCGCTTCAGGTTGCTTACCTTAGAGCTTAGATGTGGGTGAGGTGGATCAGGTGAGCCTGAGGGTTGCTGCTGGAGTGTAAACCATCGTGTACAAGTACGTACTAGGTAGAATTACCATTTCTGTCTCTTTGAGTCCTGTAACCACGACTCTACGACGGTGCTACGAGTAGCCTGGGCTGCTGCCCTGACCGTTTTTCTGAGCTGACGGGACATTGGATGGGATGAACAGTATCCGTAGGTTTTACATATTACCTAACATTGAGCGAACGTAGGCAACATAATATACGAAGTAGGTGGCTCGCTAATCCAATGAACTTGACGGCTTCCCAGGGAAGACAACTTGACCCATCACGGCTGTTGCAACAATACGTACACATCGACATGTTGCTCCATGCCAAAACTTCCTCTTGTGTCTTGCATCATGGGAACCCCCGTCCATTACGTGGTTTTGGTGCTGCTGTCTCTATGATAGTATCTTAGGGTGTCAAAACATCAAGTCCGTTTTTAACTGTGGCTTTATGAGCACATGCACAATGGGTAGAAAGGGGCAACTGACTGGCTTACCAACGGCCTTTGAGCTAGAGTTTAGTACCTAGCTAGCCTGCTTCCGACTCAAATGAAACTGAAGAGAGCAGTGAACTCACATACCTACCAGCTTTGGTAACCTAGCTGCCAGGAAAAGACTTGCTTCAACCATGTAAGTCTCAATGAGAAGAGACCCGGGCAGTTATTCTTGGGTTGATATTTCGCCAATATTGCAGTGGCATTGGCTTTGGGGAACCACCTCAACCTGCTCTTAAGGTTCCTGCTGTTTTGATACTGTGGCTAGTGCCCCATTTCCCCAGCTGCAGGACCCGAATCATAAACCAATGGTGAGCTCCCACCCATGCCACCACCACCGTACGGAGTACTACCTTTCTAAGGCGTACTCCGTCCTGACGGCCGAGGGCGCTCGGCAACCTGGAACCGATCACCCTAACATTTCCGTGGGAAAGATTCGCGGGGCGGAATTGAAGAGGACGGGAGCTGCAATGGTTGTCAGCATGGTCCACCTCACTGGGACGGCGCTTGCCCGATTGGCACGCGACCCTCTCCAATGGCGCGTGCCTTCTCAGCCTAACGTGGCTGCAGCTGCCGATGTGACCCTTGCAGCCTTGCAAGAAGGTGTGCTCTTTTGACCTTCATTTTTCTCGCCTTATCTCATTCATTTCCTCTGGGATGGGCTTTTTCTCTATGCACCTCCTCTCTCTGCTGCCGTAGGGCCCGTCCTCCATTGGCTTTATCTTGAATCGCGGCTTGTTCGCTCAGCGCAGCTTAAGACAACAAAGGGATGGAAGGAAAGGACAACGCTCCTGGCAAGGTTGAGGTTGGATCAGGGGAGAAGGCTTCAGCCAAAGAAGATGTCGTTGATGTACGGCAAATTAAGGATGCAAGCGAATCCTCACAGGCTCTGCCGCCTCAAAAACATGCCGCCCAAGGGCCTGACTCTCACACTTTGGGCGAAGAGCGGACGCATGTCCAGACGACATTTGGCCGAACCCATGGAGCGCTGTTGTCCGACACCGATACGGGGCCCGGCTTTGTGGATGTCAAGGGCGATCTTGGAGGCTCCGGCCACAACGAGACCGAGGTGGATATCATTGCCGTCACTTGCCCAGGAGCCGACCCGTTCCAGACATGGACCTATAGCAGTGATGTTAGCAGCGACGCCAGCATTTCCTCAGATGTTGGATCGCGGGGCTCAGCTTGGAGGCCTAGTCCTTGGGTTACGAGGGATCTGCGTAGCGTGGTCAGCATCGCCCGAGTATTTCTATACAAGCATCGGCTTCTTGAAGAAGGCGTGAATTTATGGTTGTTGTCGGAAGATTTGCTGAATCAGGTGCTGAGATGGCGCCGGAAAGCTGTATGTTGCCCTTGCCCACTTGCACCGCAGAGCCTTCTGATCGTCCCGGCAACAGAATCGGCCCCTGTTTTTCATCGCTCATAGTATAGGTGGGCTGGTGGTAAAAAAAGCCCTCGTGCGGGCGAGCAAGTCGAGCAAGTACCAGGAGGTAATGGACAATTGCCATGGCGTTACTTTCTTAGGTGAGTCGGCTGCCTATCATATGGACAGTGTCCCAGAGCTGATATGTCAAGGCACACCTCATCGGGGATCGAGCTATATGTCCATGTCAAATCTCAGTGAGAGTATCGAAGCACTCCTTCACTTACAAGCACCTCTGCCTCGGTCCCTTACTAGCGAAATCCTGCTCAACAACGCTCCGCTCTTAGACTTGCACGATCAGTTTGTGGACATAGCAAGCGAGCTTCGTCTGTGGTCGTTCTACGAGACGCGAGAATCATCACTCTCGGGCTCTAGCGCCGCTAGCGCTAACAGCGAGGTTCAATTCGGAGCCCCGCTGGTATCAGTCAAATCCGCATTACTCGATCTGTGGCAAGAGGATGTCTACGCTGTGGATAGTGATCACGCTCACCTCGCCTCATTTGGGCCGCATAATAGTGGTATCCTGGCTTCCTATCTCGAAGATCTGGCTGCCGCAATCCGTAAAGCAGCGGCTCTTAGCCGGGCTTACACTCACGTTCCGCTGCACTTGAGAGACCATGTGAAAGTCGAGGTTATCGGGTTCTATGAGGACCCAGATGCACTGATGGGGTCACCTCGCACATTTGCAATGGAGAATTCTGGGGAGGAATCGGGCTCCATCATACGCCTCTATTCAACAAAACATTCCTTCAGAGAGTTCCTCAAGAAAGGGCCTGACGGCTGCCTAGCGGAGCGGCTCCATAAAGTTCCTAGACGAAGGGCCAGCCAGCATCGTCTTGGCCCCAGCCTAGAACATGAAGGTTCGTGGAAGGAGTCCAGAACAGACGAGGGCGGCTCTAATCCTCTGGGCACGGCCAAAGATTCATCGCTTTCTGCCACAAGTCAGTGGCACTCGCCAGACATTCTCGTCACAAGACCTTCCGAGAGGCCAATGCTTCTCAGGGTGCCAGCTCGGTCGGAACCAATCGTTCGTCCTCCGAGTCCGGAGAGCAATGCCAGCATCAGCACCACCATGTCCGACTCGGCTCTGCCGTACAACAGCGGCCATGGCGAAACCGAACATCATACCGTTGGCTTGCTAGCGAAACAGCACGCGGGAATGCTCATGAAGGAACACGAGTTTGCCGCCACGGCGGGTTTCTCCCGTCCTAATCCAGACTTGAGGAAGTTCATGTGGATTCATCTGCCATTCAACAACCCCGTTTGGGTCAAGGTGCGAATCTATCCCTGTGTTCTCGGTACATGTGATTGAAATGTCAGTGCTGACAAGGCTTGACAGGAACTCTTCGCTACGCTCTCCAAGTTCCAAGGGCGAGACTTCTCACGGCTGTTTGACTATGACAACTGGGTCTCCAAGCAGATTCAAAACAGAAACTCTGATTCGCAGCCAGCATTTTTCAAAGCCATATGCAAATATCTTTCGATTGCAGAACGGGCAGCCTCACCACGGGTCCAGTCACCGTTATTCGGTCCTACGACACCAAACATCACGCCTAACTACCTCTATCTCTACCTTCCCTATCTTCATTTTGACACGTACCGCACCATGGTCACACGTCGCAACTTGATTCAGAGGCGCAGGAATCATGGGAGAGCAAAGCCCGTCCCCGAATATGTCGCCATGCAGGATTCCCTCGAACTGAAAATGATCTGGGAGTATATCGGCTACGACCCACCCTTGAATTGTAAGCCGCTATATGAGGCAGCATGTGCAGAAAAGTGACATGACTGACAGCTTGCTAGGTAGGCGAACTCTAGACCAATTTGCTAATCACTCCCTTCGTGATACGAATTCCCGAGACGATGACCAGATGCTGTACAAACTCACCAAGAAGGATTCTTTGCCTTCCCGGCGCATCATGTCAGGCAATAGCTCTACTCGTTCGTTACGCTCGGCGAAAGTTTCGACCTCTAGCCGCTTGGACGGTCTGGCTGAAGATCTAGGAACCGATTCGGAGCCCGAGCTGAGGGACGGTCACGTTCTCATGGTTGATCAGTTGTGGCTGTGGTCTATAGATATGAGTACGTGAGCTGGAACAAAGCAGGGCATGCGACATGCTGATTCCAAATAGCCACCTTGACCACGTTCTTCCCCAGGCGGGAATCGTCACCAACGGAAGGAACGTTGTTCCAGCAGGCAGACCTACGCAACAGCATCTACAATGAAGTTCAAGGAGACCTCACTGGTAGGACGGAAAATGCCTTGGATCTTGCAGCCCTGATCGTCTTACATGCTGTCACTGTCCTACTTGATCGGTCTTCGCACCCGGATCTCGAGATATTCCGCCTGTTTGACGAAGCCGTTGGGATGCTGGTATGTCTTTAGACACTCACAGGCTTCAAGTCCAAGTATGAAGCCAAGTATGAAGCTGACCCAGGTTGTAGGCGGAGCGGATGACGTTGAATATGAAGCGGTTCCGCATTAATGCGTTTAATCTAGGGCTGGAGAACGACGAGGAAGGGTCGGACGACTCAGACGTCGAAGGAGAGAGCCCTGCCGCAATCAAGAAGCGGCATCGACGCGAGATTGAGAGGTCTGAGCGCGAGAATAGGGAGAACACATCAGCGCTTTTAGAGCTGCGCGACCTGGAGGATGAGCTGAAGACGCTACAAAAGCTGTTTGATACGCAGGAGTCGACCATCCGCCAGATGAGGGACATTTACACCAGCAAAGACTTGAACGATTTAACGAAAAACGGACAGGAGTACCTCAACGATGCTCTCGAGTATCTAGACGATTACAAGCAACAAACCAGCGAGATGATCAAACGGGTGGACACAACAAGGAAAGACGTATGTTTGGTTCCGACCAACCAGCGGAAGCCTAACGAGCTGACAATGAGCTGCAGTACGAGAAAATGCTCGAGATGGCGCAACGGCAGGCGCAAGTTGACGAGGTCCGCTGGTCACGCTTGCAAGCAGAGCTGGCGTCGAGCCAAAACCTCTCGGTCATGATTTTTACGACATTTACCGTCATCTTCTTACCCCTCACCTTCTTCACGGGCCTGTTTGGCATGAACACGGTCGAGTGGCAAGAGCAGGTGCCCAGCCTCAAGGAAATTGGCGCCATATCGCTTCCCGCCTCGTTTGCCCTGATCGTGGTGTCCCTTGTGGCCGCATTCAGCTGGCGGGTGCAGAGTGTCTTCAAAGCGACATACAGAGGATTGAAGAGGTCGTGGAGGATCATCAAGGATGTCTATTCCGAGCGGCTGGAGCCGGTATCGAGGAAGGAGGCCAAGAGGAGACGGAGGGAGGAGAAGAAGAGGAGGCTGAGGGAGGAACAGATGATCGGGCGCAATGACCTAGGCTACGATTTCTGGGCCATGGTCAAGAAGCAGCAGAGCGAGATGCGATACCAGATCCCGGACCAGAACGTCAATAGCTCGGCTTCGCGTGGTATGACGGCGAGCCGAAAACGGACTTGACGATGCAGAGGTTGGTGATAGCTACGTCTTATACTTTGGTGATCAGCCCTCACGCCGAGAGACACCAGCGCAGGTGTCACCAATTCATTGCTTCACAGTCCAGCCTGATTGGTGTGTCTCCTGAATCTATAAGTTAAGGAGGTACCTTGCCTCTGAAGGTACAATACCGGTACTGACTGACCTGTTCCCCACACCCAGCTCGGCTTTCCTCGGCTAACCCAGGCCCACGGTCCGCATTCGAGGGACTGGAGGGGTAGCCGTTGAGTGCGCACAGGCCAGTCACTACATCAAATGCCAAAACGCCGATTGGCGGGCGGGAAACGTCATGGAGAGACCGAAGAAAGTTGTAACACTCCGTAACCGGTATCCAGACCCTCGAGTCACAGGAAGAAGACATGCGGTTGTGTTGCTCGATCTTTGGAGAATACCCAATTGACACTGTGATATTGTCTGACCCTTCGGAGTTGGCTCAGTCTCTCAATTGCTGATTTCTTATTTCTTTCTTTCCTCCTTGTTCTTTTCTCCTTTTCCTGTTCTCGGGCGTGCAGCAACAATGTCGGCCTCTGCGCGCTTGACAAGAAACCTCTGCCGGCAAGCCGCTGCTGCCCCGGCACAGGCACCGACCGCGCGCCTCCAACAAGCCTGCGGTATCAGGTGCCTCTCATCAGCTGCACCAACTAGGTTACGCCGTCCCAACGCCCGCTCGTCAGCCGGCTGCTCACTTCGCGCGGGAGCAGCAGCCCGAAGACCGCTGTCGACGACTCCGACCCGGTTCTACGCTGAAGCCGATGAATCCTTCGACCCAGGAAGCATTGAACGCGAGAGCGACGAGGTGGATGTTTGTATCGTTGGGGGCGGCCCCGCAGGTCTCTCTGCTGCTATTCGGTTAAAACAGCTAGCCAACGAGGCGGGAAACGAGGACTTCAGGGTGCTACTACTGGAGAAGGCCGGTGAGCTGGGAGCCCACATCCTCTCGGGTGCCGTGATTGAGCCGACAGCCATCAACGAGCTCATCCCTGACTGGTTGAGCGAGGAAAATGGGAATCGCTTCACGGGCGCAACTCCGGCCGGCAAGGACAGGATGCGCTTCCTGACCAAAAACAGGGCGATTCCTGTGCCGACGCCGCCACAGACGCACAACGACGGCAACTACATTATCAGCTTGAACGAGTTTACAAAATGGCTCGGCGAGCGCGCCGAGGAGATTGGCGTCGAGGTATATCCTGGGTTTGCCGCTAGCGAGGTGCTGTTCAAGGCCGACGGGAGCGTTAAGGGCGTGGCCACCAACGACCTAGGCATTGGGCGCAACGGGAAACCCAAGGATACGTTTGAGCGGGGGATGGAGTTCCACGCCCGCGTCACGCTCTTTGGCGAGGGATGCCACGGCAGCCTGAGCAAGCAGGTCATCAAGAAATTTGACTTGCGGCGCAACAGCCAGCCGCAGACGTACGGTCTTGGCCTCAAAGAGGTTTGGGAGGTGCAGCCAGAGAAGTTCCGCAGAGGCGAGATCACGCATTCGCTGGGTTACCCGGTCCCTTCGGACACGTACAGCGGCGCCTGGATGTACCACTTTGGTGACAACCTCGTCAGTATCGGTCTGGTCGTCGCCCTCGATTACTCCAACCCCTGGCTCTCGCCATACGGAGAGTTTCAGAAGCTCAAGCAGCATCCCTTATACCGGGAAGTCCTTGAAGGTGGTAAATGCATTTCATATGGCGCACGTGCACTGATAGAGGGTGGTTTCCAGTCCATTCCCAAGGTGGCCTTCCCCGGCGGCGCGTTGATCGGCGACTCGGCCGGCCTCGTCAACGTGCCCAAGGTCAAGGGAACCCACAATGCCATGAAGTCGGGCATGCTGGCGGCCGAGGCAGCCTGGAACGCGCTCAAGGACGGGGATAGCGGCTCCGTGTTTCTGTACGACTACGAAGACTCGCTCCGCAAGTCTTCCATCTGGAAGGAGCTGAAGGAAGTCCGCAACATGCGGCCTTCATTCCACACTCCCCTGGGCATCTACGGCGGCATACTCTACTCGGGCCTGGAGGCATTTGTCCTCAAGGGCCGTGTGCCCTGGACGCTCAAACACAAGGTGCCCGATCACCTAGCCACCAAGCCGGCGGACCAGTGCCCCAAGATCGAGTACCCCAAACCCGACGGCAAGATTACATTTGACATACTCACCAGCGTCTCCCGCACCGGCACCAACCACGAGGAAGACCAGCCGGTGCACCTGCAGGTCGAGGACTGGGACCGCCACACGGCCGAGACGTATCCCCCGTTTAAAGGGCTCGAGAACAGGTTCTGCCCGGCGGGCGTGTATGAGTATGTCGAGGACGAGAGCAAGCCCGAGGGCGTGAGGTTCCAGATCAATGCGCAAAAGTGAGTTGCAGCAAACCCGGTTTATATTCCTTCCTCTTTCTCTCTCCTTCTCCTCGCCGCTAACGGATGTCCTGCTTTTCTAGTTGCATCCACTGCAAGACGTGCGATATCAAGGCGCCCAACCAGGACATCAACTGGCAAGTACCGCAAGGTGGCGAAGGGCCCAAGTACTATAAGACATGACCTGCTGTGGGGAGCAGCAGGCACTGGTGAATGTGGTTCGTAAGGGGGGCAGGTGTGAGTCTGGTATGGGATACCCTCAAATGTCGAATGGGAAATTTTGTGTGAAGCTATAGCAAGAAATACAGGCGGTAACGTTGTCTTTTTTGGGTTATTTTTTGCATGGATAGGCCTGAGACCGGCCAGGCGCGGACGCAGCATTGCTGGCATCACTTTGGGCTCTTTAAGGAGTGGGTTGACTATCGTATATTCTCGAGAATTTCGACAAGATCTACTGCACAGACTAGGCCGAGCCACCAATCCCAGCCTTGCACTATGCAATGAGCTTCGGCCTTGCTGATGCGATGCGAGGTTGAAGTCAGGGTTTGGAGTGAGTGGAAGGTTTGCTAGATACGTCGCTTGCCTTAGTCTGGGCAGTAGATCTTGTCGAAATTCTCGAGAATATTCGGTAAAAACCCCGGTTCTTCAACAGAATATATGGAGCGATGTGTGTATCAGACGACGAGTCAGTCGGTCAGTTTTGTGCTCCAAAGGAGTTTGTCCGAGCATAGCAACTCCCTTAGCTACGTTGGCAGTGACATGGTGAACACTGTTGAGCTGGCCTTCTATTTGTGCTCTCCATTGTATTGTACATAAGGCAAAGTGTGGTGTAGCCTTTATGAGGGACACGCGAGACTGACGCATGGAGACGGCGCGCGTCACGGTAACGCGCAGCGAATCGTGATCGAAATTGAACGAACAGCCCGAGCGAGCCAATCAGCCTACAGGATGGCAACCCCTTGTACTTTCTTTGGGTTCGATATCATACGCGATTTGGGCGCGTCTCTCGGCAGTCCGGTAACAAAATGAACACACTGTCTGGGCTTATGGGTCGTGTTATCATAGCAGGAGAGTCCTGTAAGCTATACATATGCTTCCTCTGCATACAACTCGTCTAGCACTTCGTAACAGAGGACCTGATAGGATTGAACGTACTCCGTACTACTGACAATTATACGATGTACGAAGTACGGATACAATACCAAATGAAATACTCCGTACGGATACGGATAAATCTGGTCTGTGTAACCATCAGCAGTGTAAGGATCTCGCAGCTCTGAATGCCCTTTGCCTTATCAGCCAAGCCGCAAAAGCGTATTGCACTAGTGGCGTAAGCTAACGTTAAGCGCTGGGCGACCGTCCAATTAGCTGCGGGCACTCAAGTAGAACCTTATGCAACCCTCCGGCTTTTTCATTTGAAATGCTTGATTGCCACTGGCCGCATGCGAAGAGGAGGCCGGGTTGAGGCGCGGATGCGGCAAGTCCAGAAAAAAAATGAGTGAAGGCCACTGTCGGGTAATGTTGCGGAAAGCGGCGGCCGATGGCAGCATCAAACAGTGTCCGTCCATAGCATATGTCTATAAGTAAAGCAAGTGAGCAGCCGGTATGGGCTGTAATCAACCGCGATAAAGTGCTCATGCTCTCCTTATCGCAAGGGAAGAGGGGGCTTTCAGAGGGAGAAAATGAAAGAAATGAGTCATAGACGAGGCTGAGGACGGGAGAGCTCGAGCCATCAAGTGTGGTTGGACAGGCATGAAGCCACACGGGCCAGAGATGCACGGGACCCCACCCCCTTGTCCGGCCCCTTGCCCAAGTACCGATACCTTCCACACTCCACAGAGCGGCGCTCAAAATGTTAATCAGGGCACGGTTGCCAATGTCGCCCGGCCAAACCGGCAGAGCTGCATGAGGGAGATCCAACTTGGCCGCTGGGTCTGATGTTGAGCAATTTTGAGTCTCGTCAGCCAAGGATAAGTGTTAGTCTGTGCAGGACTGTTTCGGTATCCGCATGCCATAAGTAGATGCAGAGTGACTCGGCAGACTCGATGATTTCTTTTCGGGCTTTTCCAGGCTGAGACCGGTTGTTCAGCTTTGATGAATATCCAAGCCGAGAGAGACCCGGCCATCCTCGGCTCATTTCTCGCAACTCGGAGAAGGTTCTGAATGTGACAGTTAGCTCCAGACAAGGAAAAAATGTAGTCAGTCAAGGACAAGTTTGCAGATGTTTGTTTCGCTCCGTCATTCCTGTTGCTGCCTCGTGGAAGCACACAATTTGACTTTCCAGGTCGGTTGCCTTGGGCTAGTTTCGGTTGCCATTCAGCTTCGATAAACAGCACACCGAGAACGCGTCATCCAGCGGCAGACGGAACAGCATCGCAACCAACGAGATACCGTATAATGTTTGTTGGCTTGTGGGTTTTTGGCATTTGGCCTCTTTGCCCGACTGGTCGAAAACCTTCATTCCTCAACTCGAAGAGACCAGTGGAGCGGGGGCTGAGCTAGCAGCTTCCGTTTGGCGCATCGACACCGCTATGTCGCAATCGTTCAATTCGAATTTCGCCGAGGGGAAAGGTGCATCATGGTGCGAGCATCATCGATGTTTATGTTGCTCATCCTTTGCGCAGTTGCCGGAAAGCTCGGTTTGGGCTGTTCAAAGTTCAAGGTGGCGATTATGATCCGACTAGTGAATGTGCACCCCAACTCGAAGGGATACCCAACACGTAAATGGCTCCAAGCAGGCACCAAGACCCGACATCATCGTTTCGCCGCTCGTTACCCGCTGCTCATCGAATGATCGAAATTTTATCGGTTGATAAATGCGCGTTGACCACACTGAGGCATGTTGTTCGTCGCTGAAGCCGTTTGATGCTCTGTGCAAAGCAGTTGAGAGTTGCAACGCAGCATCAAGGTAGGGGGAGAAGAGGGAATTGGAATCGTTTCAGAATGTTGTAATGGTGTGCCAGGTTTTTGGTTGAAGGACACTGGAAATGGTTGGTGTTGTCACAGGCCCCAACGGGCTGCATCCCTGGCTTGGCCTGTTTGCCGTCGATTCGTAAGTACCGGTACTTGGGAGCTTAGTTGCATTGGTTTGTTCAGGGGGCGGGGGCAGGGAATTGTTCGGATTGGGACAGAAAAAAGAAGACAAATTTTGGGCCTCCTGGTTTCTGATTCGCTGCAGGCCACCGTAGCCCACACCCAAAACATGAAAGACAGGAGGGCCCGCCACCACAAGCGTCGTATTGCTGCCTCAGGCATAATTACGTGTGCTGGGCAAAAATTATAAGAATCCCCCGCGCTCCCTCCAACTCATTTGTTTTGAAAGGTCCCGCGCGCGGAAGTCCCGACCGGCCGTTGTTACTTGCCTTCGGCCACATTTCTGTCTCCACACACCCCCCTTCCCCGAAGCTCCGCCTTCAACCACAACAGCTCAGCCTCGTCTGTCGCTGTCGTGAACCTAAAAAGACTTGTTCTCCTTCGAACCCTGCGTTGTGTGGACGCGTCTCTCATTTAGGAAAAGGATTAATCTGTCGGCGGAGCAGGCGATCGTTCGCGCAGTTCCGGACAAGGGCTTCCCGTCAATCCGTCCTTCGTGACGCCCTTTGACCTTCAAGGAACCCGACCTCCATAAGGAACTCGACGTCTGCTGCGGTCGACGCTTTTATTCGTCGAGGACAATAAAAACACACAGTTTGCACAGGTCATAGTGCACCTTGCCAGGTTCTTCAAAGACCCGTCTCCCTGCCGTGAGTTGAAAGTGTGGAAAAGCGTCGTCCTCCACGTGTTGCTGCGGACTCGTTTCGGTATCAAGAAACCTGCCATTATCGACGGGGATTCCTCGCCAGGCTATCATCGTTCGTCGATTACAATCGAGCATTGCGGTTACCGCGGCAAAGAGTTTCCTTTGAGAGGCCCGGCCGAGTCGTTGATCGAGAGATCGCGACCGCCCTCGAGTGGTTTGCAGAGTGAACAGCAGTCAAGGGGGACACATTAACTTGTTCATCTCCCTCACCTGGTATGTTCACTCTCTCTTTCATCCGAACTTGCCTTGCCAACATCGCCCCGCGCAACCTCGCGTTTTCCCCATTGTTGTTTCGCGCCTCGTGAAGTTTCTCCCCGTCTATAAATTCTCCCTCTACTTGGATTTTTTTCTACATGCAACCACCTACATTTGGCAGTCCTGAATTCCGCACCACATTTCTGGACTTCCCTCAGCTTACACGCTATCAAAAACATTCCATCTAACTGAGTCTACCTGTAGATCTGTTCGAGCAAACCAGATCTGAAAAAGAACCCTGGTTTCTTGACGCATATTTCTGAGAATGGAGGCAATCCAAACCCACCCCGCGAACGCCGCGCAAGCCAAGGCCTTCACTGCGCCTGGTTCGCTCTCATTTCCGGGAGGCGCCAGCGAAATTTCGCATCCGCAGGGCAATGGACATGCGACCAACGGCGCTCAGCAGCAGGGCGTTCAAGCCACTAACGGTACTGGGGTGACTCCCGCGACCCCCGCTGCGACGCCGGGAGCTGGAGGAAACACTGGCCCAAGTGGCATCACTCCCACGCTCCAGTAGGAACCTCTACAGTCCCCAAGGCACTAATGAGGCTGTGGGCTGACTGATGCAGGAACATCGTCGCTACGGTCAATCTGGACTGCCGTCTAGACCTGAAGACGATTGCGTTGCATGCCCGCAATGCGGAGGTACGTGTTGAACCAGAAACTGAGCGCTCTCGTCTCTCTTGCTGAGAGAGGGCAAGAGACGCACCCAGTTTCTGTCTTCAACCGCTTTTGCTAGGCAGTCCTGACAGGAAACAGTATAACCCCAAGCGTTTCGCTGCTGTTATCATGCGTATCCGCGAGCCCAAAACGACCGCCCTCATCTTCGCGAGTGGCAAGATGGTTGTGACTGGTGCCAAGTCGGAGGATGACTCCAAGCTTGCGTCGCGCAAGTACGCCCGAATCATCCAGAAGCTCGGTTTCAACGCCAAGTTTACGGACTTCAAGATCCAGAACATTGTCGGATCTTGCGACATCAAGTTCCCTATTCGTCTGGAGGGCCTTGCGTCCAAGCATCACAACTTCAGCTCATACGAGCCTGAACTCTTCCCTGGTCTCATCTACCGCATGATCAAACCCAAAATTGTCCTCCTCATTTTCGTGAGCGGCAAGATCGTCCTCACCGGCGCCAAGGTCCGCGAGGAAATCTACCAAGCGTTTGAGATGATCTACCCCGTGCTGCAAGGTTGGCCAAGCCATGAATCTACTTCTCCTGTAGCCATAACCGCTGACTCGTCTTCTAGATTTCCGCAAGGTCTGAGCCTGCGGGACTTGGCCAATGCCGGCGGCGGATTTCCTCACCCCGCCATACTCATCGACGTACCTACTCCGACTTGTATACTACACCCCACCAAACCTTCCGGTCATGATTTGACGACAAAAATCATACCCCAACCAAAAGCTCGGCCAATAACGCTCATAGAGCTAGCGTTACGCGGTCATGTGTATCATTGTTTGCGACTTTTTTTCACCCAGCATTGCACCGGCGTTCGGGCGGAGGACTCTTGAACGAGAGGCTTACCAAGTTTTCTTCTTTTTCACCCTGCGCGGATTGAGTCAGGAGTGGCGCGCACCCGGGTGTTTTACCATAGAAATTTCGCATACGACGCCGGCAGATGCAAAGCAACTGGTTGCCTGTCGGACGTCCCTAATGAGCGCTCGGTCCACCACTTGGCGGCCGCAGCAGCCAGAGGACTTAGACGGATGGACACAGAGGGATTATTGACAGTAACGGTGGGTGGCATGGTTCGCCATGGGAGCTGCGACTGCCCAGATCGTTGGCTGCAGCATTGCAAGCAAGATGGGCAGCAGACTTTGGCAGCGATGTGAGGGGAGCCTTGTGAGGAATAAGCAAAAATATGCTGGCCTGGCATGATTTAAATCATTCACGGCTGGCCTGGCAAGGGACGATGATGGTGGGCGCAGGCCTCGACCTGCTGCCCTGGCAAAACCCATTGCAGCATTTTCGGCAATTCCCCAACGAGATTTCATCTTCAACGGGGAATGCCTGCTCTTGGGAGGAACTCTGGCGATAGTAGCCGTGTTTTTTTCTGCCATGCATACCATCATCTATTTGCCTAAAAGCCGTTTTGCTCTGCGTATCGTGACTGCTGTGACATGGTGGGCTTACCTGACTGTGCGTGCAAACGCCATCCATCGGTTCCCAGCTTGCAGTCCATTTGCCCACGTATTTTAATCGCGAGCAGGTATTCGTATCGCCTCTGCCGTCTTGGCCAGTTCGTCAGCCAGAACGAGGAGGGCTGTGCCGCCTCTTGTGCCATCGTCAGTAGCCACAGGCAACCCAGTTGTCTTCCTCCATGCCCATTTGCCTCTGAATTCCGGCGGGCAGTTGTGCATGATGCAGTCGGCGATCTTCTCCCCAATGACAGGTAGGAACTTGAATGCGTGCCCGCTATCACCTGTGGCAACGAACAGGCCGCGCCATCCTGGGTGATAGTCGATCAGAAAATCGCCGGTCGGTGTGTCAGAATACCAGCAGAGGCGTGTCTTGGTGAACGGACGGTCTTTGAGTTCAGGCCAGGGTATCATCTCATGGAGCGCGCGGCGGAGGTCGTCTGCACCCTCAGCGGGTATGGAGAGGTTCGGGTGGTCGAGGTGGGTTAGTGGAAGAGATGCCGGAGCCGAAATGCTCGGGCCCGCCGATTGCGGGCTCAGTGGCAGTGGTGGCGTGTGAAGCGTGGTAGGGTTGACGTAGCCTGAGGCGTGCCGAGCGATCTTGAGAACTCGGTTTGTGGGTGGAATAATGAAGAGCCCGTTGGAGAGATTTAGGATGATGGGCATCTTGCCCAACTTCTCCTGCTCCGCTTCGGTGAGGTCCAGATATCCCATTACTTGTCCCGTGGCCATTGTCTGGCCCGCAAGGTCAACCAAACTCCCAGTCCATGCACCCGCCGCGACAACCACAAGCTCGGCCGATAGGACACGGCCGTCGGAGAGCTTGGCGCCGGTAACAGCGGTCTCGTCATGCACCAACGAGACAACGGTTCCGGCGACAAAGCTCACACGCCCAGTCTCTTGGGCCTTGTTGAAAAGCCATGCCATCGACGCGGCAGCGTTAGCCCAGCCGCTGTTGTTGTTGATATACCCCCATGACCCAGAGCTGCCAGCCGTTCCCAAACAGTCACGTATGGCATCTCGATTGGGCAGCTCTCGAATCCGAGAGGCGAGCGTAGGGTCTTTCGAAGACAAAGACAAGACGTTGGCCCAGCTCTGCTGAACGTAGTCCATGCCAGTCAGTTTGGGCTCCTTCAACGCCTCACCAGCTGCTAGGTCCGCCACCGGCGCAGGCGGCGTAACGTCAGCAACCAAAATCAGACCGGTCTCATTGTAGCGACCCTGACCGCCGAGATCGGCAGGTGAGTCCGTCATCCGCCATTTCCTCTGGGATTCGTCACCCAGGGCAGCGTAAGCTGGATCAGCATAGTCTGCCCTAACGATGCGGCTAGTGTCGGTGCTGGCGGCGTCAGGGGCAGGGAACGTGCCAGGCTGGGACGGGTCCGATCTATCGACGACAGTTATGGAGCATTGGGAGAATGCATCTCGGCGGGAAAGGGCCAAGGCGGTACTGAGACCAAAGACCCCTGAGCCGATGATGAGGATTGAGGAAGGAGGGGAGAAGGCTTGCGAAGAAGGAAGCGAAGAGCAAGACAGAGAGGAAGGAGCCATTTTAGTGAAGCGAAAGGGGAAGAGAGAGATAAGGTTTCAATGAGTAAGCAAGCGTTTCAATGCACAGAGGCGGGGAGGCAGCAAACAAAGGTTTAAGGTTTCAATTCAGATCAGGGACGCGGCGGGAGGCCATGGCCATGTATGAAGCCACGCTGTTGGCTCGCCCTCGTGTTCATGCATTCTAAGTTTGGAATCCCGATGCAAGCCGGACACTTGTCTAGCCTTGCTACTCCGTACCTCGGTAGGAAATATGGAGAGACGAATATACCGCTATTGGCGTTTGCATTGTGCTGATAAGTGGGTGGAGAAGCCACCGTCTTTGAGAGAGGGTCTAAGCCAGGAGAGCGATGCGAGCCCGAGGACCTGAGGGGTCGACAGGCACCGCCGGGGTCGGAGGAAAGCCCGACCTGAATCCCGTACTGTAATACGAAAGTGTCTCTAAGCACCTAGTTGATTCATATGTATGGTACTTCGTATGGGTAACAGGTAGGTAAGGTGGCTGTTCCTACCTTGCCGTTGGGCGTAATCCAATGCAACTTGCAAAAGGAGAGGTGGTTCACTCCTGGTGGAGGGCTGCACAAAGTAGGTTGTATAAAAGGAATATGCCAGTTATGAAGCAAGCACACTGATGGATCTTTGTAAGCTTGGGCGAGCACAGCTTATGCACAGACAGCTTGCTGAGGACCGGAACAGTGCGAGGTCTTTTCACAGCTCGCCTTCCAAGAACTGGAAACAACTGAGATATGCTCTTCTCCTATGGTCCCATGCACATACAATAAGAATATACAAGTACTCTCAAAGACACAATGAATCTGCAAAGTAGAAAATGGCCCCTGAGATGAGAAGGACAAGCCACGTGGTAATTAGAACGACGACCCGGGGAAGTCCGGCCGGCACGGTGACCGGACTCACCGCAGGCAAGAGACTCGGCGGTGCACAGACCATGTGCTCCTTACCTATCAGTTAGCCCTGGCCGAATGGATCTCAACCTCAACCCGAGTCCCGGCCTCGGAACCATCACCAAGCTCACGCAACCGCGCGCGTAATATGCGGCGCCAACACCTGCGCGCACCCCAAGATGTCGTCAACCAAGAAGATTGTCGAGTTCCCTGATGCCGAGGCCAAACTCCAGAAACCGAGCAAGCAATCGGCATTCGAACGACAGAAGGCCGAGGCCGAGGCGAAGCGTCGAAGGGAGGCCGCAGAGACAGCCGCCGTTTACCAGGACTTTGTCAAGAGTTTTGCGCACGACGATGGCGACGATTTCCATTTGTCTCAGCAGTCGAGGTCGCAGTCGTCTAGATTTGGCTTTGGCCCGCCGGACAGACCTGCTATCGGCATTCAGGCGGCCTTTGGAGGAGGCACGGGCAAGAGACACTTTGGCGTTTCGTCGATGAAGAGTGGGCCAGGTAGCCTGGGACCGGTCCCATCATCGTTTGGGAAGAAAAGGACATATGACGGTTTTCAACGAGATTCGGATGAGAGTCGAGGGAGATTGGGCTTACAAGACAAAAACTCGCACTCCCTACCCGTGTCCAAGGCGTTCGATGCCAGCGATGACGAAGGAGATTCTACAATTGCCGACAGAGCCGAGGAGAAGGCGACCTCGAAGCCGACACTGCGTCTAGCCAATCTGCCACCGGGCACGTCTCCCGCTGTCATCAAGGCCCTGATCCCCTCAAATTTGACCGTTGAGAATGTGTCAGTCGTTCCGCCCTCAGGCCCGACCGGGACGGAGCGGAAATCTCTCACAGCGATCGTCACCTTGTCCAAACAGACCCCAGCGACCGAGATCGATAATGCTGTGAGCGCTCTGCAAAACCGCTACCTTGGCTTCGGCTACTTCCTTTCCCTGCACAGGCATCTCTCCTCGGCCGCGATATCATCTGGATTGACCTCTTTGTCCTCGGCATCGACTGTTTCACATCCTTTCGGTGCAAAGAAGGTGGACGAAGGTCCAGGAAGATTGTCTCACCACTCAATGGGCCATGGCCGTGCCTATGCGCCCCCTGCATCGTACAACCCTCCCCTCGGCGGCCCGCTTAGCAGGACCAGTATTCTCCACGTTCCCATTCGCCCTCCACAGGATATTAAACAGCTTCGCATGATTCACAAGGTTATCGAATCGGTCCTAGAGCATGGCCCGGAATTTGAAGCCCTTCTGATGTCTCGCCCGGACGTTCAGCGTGATGAAAAATGGGCCTGGATCTGGGATGCTCGCAGTGAAGGTGGGATTTGGTATCGTTGGAGGCTCTGGGAGATCGTCACAGGATCACAGCCAACCAAGGGAAAAGCCGAGTATATCCCTCTTTTCGAGGGAAGCCACGCCTGGAAAGTACCTGAGCAAAGGCTAGCATACGAATACACGACCGGCGTCGAAGAATTCGTGTCAGACTCGGACTACAATTCCTCAGAAGACGACGAATTCGACGATGATCAGGCTCGGCAAGGCGAAGGCCACGAGCAAGCGGACACATTCCTCAATCCCATCGAAAAGTTCAAGCTCGCCCACCTGCTAGCTCGGCTACCCACGGCAATGTCCAAACTCAGGAAGGGTGATATCGCCCGGGTCACGGCGTTTGCAATTACCCACGCCAGCCGAGGTGCCGACGAAATTGTCGACATGATTGTCTCCAACATCGAGTTCCCCTTCGCCTACACTCTGGCAAATCCTGACTACAGACAAGAGTGGAAGGAGAAAGGGGTCAGAGACGAGGACCCGGGTGCTATCTCCTCCGCCCAGGAAGACAAGCACGCCACAGATGCACCCGACATAAGCTCCTCTCGGTTGCTCAGTCTCTATGTTGTGAGCGACATTTTGTCCTCGTCATCTACCAGTGGAATCCGGCATGCATGGCGCTACCGGCAACTGTTTGAGACAGCACTTCGAAGCCGCAAGACGTTTGAATTGCTGGGCATGATGCCGGACAGACTGAATTGGGGCCGGCTACGGGCTGAGAAGTGGAAGCGGAGCGTTGGACTTGTGCTGAGCCTTTGGGAAGGTTGGTGCGTGTTCCCTGTTGAAACGCACGAGTTCTTTGTCAAGAGCTTTGAGAACCCCCCTTCCCTGAAAAAGCAAACCAATGGCGCCGAATCAGAACGGAAGGCTGGGAGGTGGAAGACTGTCGAAGCTGCTCCTACTGACACGGCCAGTGGGAGCGGATTCTTGCCTGTCTCGACCAAGCTCTCAGCAGATGAGGCTTCAATGGATGGCTACGCTGATAAGCTGCTGGAGCCGGAATTTTCTGGCGAGGAGATGCACTCGGCTCCTCTGCAATATGTTTTGCGACTGGATGAGATCTTCTCGGACTTGGACCTCGACGGCGAAGCGGAATCAATGCACAAGGCGGACGAGGAGCCAAACTTGTTGCAAACCAAGCAAGAAACAAAATCCATTGGGAGCTTCCAGATGTCAGCGTCAAAACATGCGGCTTCCAGGAGACGGATGCGCGCGATGGACATGTTTGCCGATTCAGACTCAGATGCAGAAGGCTAGAAAGAACTCAGTCGATCAACGCGGCTTCAAGAGTGCCCAACCGCCTGCATGCACAATCACTTCTTGTGTAGCACTCGGCTGTGTCGGGATTTTCCAAGGCTGACCCAGCTGCACCGCGCCAAGTCCGTCCACGGGCTCGGGATGAGGCTCGCCTGAGCCGGTGCATGTCTGGCAGCTTCAGGGTCTTGACTTGGGTCATACAATGCCCAACCATCCCACGTGTATTCATGTACTATGTACATAGAGTCATCAGCGCGACAGACAGCAAGAGATTCTTATGACATGATGAAATGAGACGGCCAAGATGCCTTGCATGCCCAGGCTTTCCGTAAGCTCTTCTCACCTCCCGACCTAGGTAAGTAAGCTTGCATCGATGTAATGCTACATTGCTCCTACGCGCACCATCCTTCGGAGAAAAAGGAGAGGGAAGAGTAGAGCTACACAGCCCTTGAGAGAGCATTAGAAGAAGTTGAAGAACCTCATCCTAGCCCAGATAGGATCTCTTCATATCATTATTCGTACCTTGTTGAGACGTTAGCCACAATGGGTTGAAGTTGGTCAAAATGAGCCAGTGTACATACATACTTGAGGTCGTGTGGTAAAGGACCTTATATCACCGCCATGCAGTCGGTTCATTTCTGTTGCATCCATCCATCCCACGCTGGTCCCGGCCGCCAGAGCACGGCTGCCGGGTCTTGGAGCTGTTCCGGTGAGCTCACCAATTCAGCCAATGGAAACTTGCTCAGTTCCAGTCCACCAAGCAGCCGCACCCCACCCCCCACCTGCCCAGAACACCTCTGCTTGCATTCACCATTTGTTCGAGAGGCCGAACCAGGGAAAATGCCCCTGAGCCTAGATTTTCTCGAGGTTCACACAAGCACACACAAAAACGAAGTGAGACGGAATACCTAGGCAGGTACTCGATGTGAGCGCCATTGCCTGCCTTCATTCACCCCACGGATTGACAGCAGGGAACTCTCATGGTCGCTGTTGCTTGCCGCTTTGTTCGTGGTTATTCCAGGTTGTTGAGTCCATCCCAGCATCGCAACACAAACGACTATTTCTCCACCTCTGCCTCTCCCTGTCCGGAGCTGGAATTTGGAATTTTTCTTGGAGGCATTTTCGAGGGAAACGAACCAAGCTTATTCAACAGGTGTTTGTGGCGCTGCTTCCGATTTTCACAGACGTGGAATTACTGCTCCTTTGCCTCCTGCCGCGCGCCTCGCCTCGCCTGTCACCTGCCGACTATCGCTCTGGACCCCTCTCACAGGAAGGGCGCCTGTCATGATATGGCCTGACCGACACTGACTGGGATTCGTCCTCGGTTTACCCGTTTGTCGTTTCTACCTCGCCCTTTTTGACAAGTGCCACTCTTGTTGGGTCCTCAACTGCATCACAAACAAACACCGAACCAACGGCCTTCTCCGTTTCTACACGGCCGCCGAAGCAGCCGATCTCATTCTCAGTCGCTGCCCTTGTCAGCTAGGCCCTAGGCTGCTGCTACACTGGCGACTATCGATTCGGATCGGCTTCCTCTGAATAGCCACGGCTCCTCTCCGCTCTTCTATCTTGGTCATTGATTGACCGTCAGCCAAGCATATCGCTGTTGATCTCCGCATGCATTCGAGGCCATTCTTTTCTCACTGACTTCTCATCTGGCTCCGCATCCACGGCTGCCACAAGCCCTACATCCGGGGCTCGGAAAGGTTGGCATCTCTATAGATATTGAGGAATAGACAGGCGTTACCTTCCAGGTCCGCCGCGCCACTTTGACACGGACGGAGAAGTCTCACCTGCGCCTGGAAACCAGACACCGTCAGTGCTGGGTAGCCACACATCAGCATAACCCCCTCATTCAGCTCGTAAACCCGTCCCGGCGGCTGCCGGGTGGTATGAGCGGCAAGTCCACGGCACCGCAGGCTTACCACATAGGCGCGCGTTCGGAATATTCATAGCAAATGCAGAGGGTGTCATTACCCGCTAAGCTGCCAGTATGCCTATCATAAACGGGCAGAAGATGGCCTGGTATGTCTAACAATCCCTCGAGCCCTCTCTATTGCGCTTCCGGCCCCGCTTCCGACCCCCTTTGTTCATCACACACCGATGCCTTCCGGCGGGATGAAACATGATTTCACCCAGTTTCCGGCACATACCATGTCCGGCTGCTAATCATCTCGAACCATAGTGCGCCGTGCATACGTGGTCATCGCTCCACAAAATGCAATCATTTCAACGAGCGAGTCATGGTTCCGGTCCGGAAGCCCGGCCGGCCGCTTAGCACTTGCCCCTGTCCACCCGGCCGGCCCTGTGCCTGCGGAAGTGTGCGAGTTGCGATACCTAAGAGGCAAAAATGCGCATGCCCAACAGATGGCTCGAGCAAGGCGCATAGTACAGAACAAGAGCAGTCGCCCTCCGAAACCCCGTCCCCATCGCGGTCTTCCTTCCGGGTTGCCAAGCTAGGTTCTAGCTCCAAAACTCGTGGCCGGAAGCAGTCCGTCGACGCAACTAACCTGGAGAGGATGGACCCTGGCTCCTTGAACTGGATATCAATTCCGGATGGCAACGGCATACACGGCGGAATTGCGATGGTGAGCAGCGAAGCTCAAGGCTCCCCGCATGGCCACAACGGCTTCGGACCGGGTATCGGGCTAGTGCCGGCCGGCCCTGGCAGCCCGTATTCAGCCCCGCAAAGCCCGAGTTTTGGTTCGCCAATAGCTTACAGCATGGGATTCCAATATCCCTCATCGAACCAACTTCGGCCCGGGCTCAAGATGGAGGACAACGGAATCGGCGGTACTTCAAGCACCTTTAGTTCCATAATGCCACCCCCAGCTTTGATCAATGGAAACCACGCACCGCCTTTTGTCGGAGTTACCCCGCAGTCAGCCCTGCTAGGAGCAGCGTTGCTGCGCGGGACTAATGGCAACTTATCTGAAGCTAGCAGTTGTTGTAGCAACAAGAGCGATGGCCCGTCTCCGGATTTAAATGCGTTGCCGGCACAGCAGCAGGGCTATGGACGGTCATACATGACCCAAGTACAGTCTCCGGTGGAAACCAAGGCCAATGGCAGCACGCTCGGGGGTGGCGGCTGTTGCTGCAACAAGAAAAACGAACCTTCCCCGAGCCCCCGCGCAATTGCAGCATCTCAACAGGGATATGGACAGTCGTATATGTCCCAGTTTCAGCCTCCAGGAGATATGAAGCTGCAGTCACAAGGCTTCCAGTATCCGACGGTCTTTACCTATCCGGCCGATTACGGTTCTTGGCAGCACCCAATCAACCCGGCAATATGGCAACAGGTTATATCGCAATTTAGTACCACGGCGGGCACCAGCATGCCAATGATGGCTACCACCGACGGTGAAACAGGAACCCTAACCACCAGTCACCAGTGCAACTGCGGCGATGGCTGTCAATGTGTCGGCTGTTTGGCGCATCCCTTCAACGCGCAGATGTACCAGTACGTCAGTGATGCCTACCGCGTGCGAACGAGCAACGGCACTGCCAATGGCGGGGGCGAAAACGGCCCCAGCAACGGCCCCGTCCCGGGCGCCGCAGGTTTCGATGCGACAGGACAAGCACAGGCAGTGGCCGGGCATGACTCGCCGCAAGATGTCCAGACGCCAAGCGAAGGCACTCCTGGACGCGAAGAGGAGGCGCTACCAACGCAGGACTACTGCTTTGTCGATCTACCGTTGTGGGAAGGGTGCGGAGGTGACCTGGGCTCCTGTCCTTGTGGGGATAGCTGCGAATGCGTTGGATGTCTGGTTCATAATAATCCGCTTCCACAGAGCTAGGTGCGAGATGGGACATGGTTGCCAAGACGTTGGGGGTATGCGTTATGCCTTGACAAGTGTGGAATAGAGCATACCATGGCATTTAGGGCGGCTTGCGTTGTTGAATTCGTTACCGTTTGATACCTATGAGATACCCATGCTTAGGGCGGATAAAAGTCTTTTCAGTTGCCAGCGTCGAACTATATTCAACATCTCTCGGAGTGGTGTTCCAATCGTCCCCGGAGTATATACTAACATACTCTGTACTGGTAACTAACAGTTTACCGTAACGTTACCGTAGCGGCCCTGTTAACGCCGTCGCTAATGTTACCCGTTGGCTCCACTTCCGAAAAAAGGGCCAACTATACCTCCTTAGATAGTTGGGCGCAAAAATTCGTAGACGGAACGAATCCAGAGGCGCATCAGAAATTGGTACATTCCCTATACAAAATTGTTAGCCAGCAACACCAGCAACCTGCATCTTTACAACCATTGGGTTTTCTGAAAAACGGATATAACCGTTAGATCCGCCTTGAAAAGGCGGTTCGAATGGTACTTACTTTGAATGGATGCATTCTATTGCTCTTGGAGTTCTTAGTGAATTTTGGTAGAAGTCGCTAAATCTGGTGACTCCAGTCTTATAAGTCGGCACTAGCTGGGTTCGGAATGTAGTGCAAGATACAACACTTTCACCCAGGGCTCCCCAAATACAGGGTACATCCATTCAAAGTAGGAATCATTCGAACCGCCTCTTCAAGGCGGATCTAACAGTGATATTCGTTTTCCTGAAAATGCAGTATAGCCTGATTTCTGGGCATGCGACTGCCCAATCTGTTAGTGATTGTAGTGATATGCCATATATTGTACTATCGTCTCTGGATTTTGTTCCGTCTCTGAATTCTGCGCCCATGGAACTATCTTGACAGTGGCCCCTTTATGGAAGTGGAGCCAACGGGGCCCGCGGGGTTACCCAACCATGTTAGGTAACTAACAATTGATTAACTCGATTATTTCATACATTCAACGGACTTGAAGTCGACTTGAACCCCCCAGCGCCTGCCTCAGAGATCGGAGTACCGAAAGGTCAGCAAATGTTGAGGCACTTACCTTCATCGTGATCTACAGGGAACTGTATAATTACCGGGCTTTACGTTTGGTGGTCAGATCGGTCATTAAGTTGTTTTGAAGACTCGGACCACTCGGTGCCGCCAGGATCTCAAAATCCTGAGATAATCTCATTACTATGTACAGTACAGAGCACATGAGAGGGGTTGAGGCGGACAACGTGGTCGCATCAACAGAACGGGGCTCTCAAGGCCGAGCCAGGTCACGGAGTCAGCCAAGAACTGGCAAGCGGACTTCTACTTCCCCTTCCCGATCCCGGTCACGAGTGCGCTCAAACCGGAGCCCGGATCGCCACCAGCATGGCGTAGCGTCGCCCAAGCCGATGGCAGGATCGGACGCGAGGCGAGACCAACGGCACCGTCACAGCCGGCAACGGAGGAGAAGCACCAGGTCGCTCTCCCCTGGCAGGGAAGAGGAGCACCGTCGTCACCGACATTCACATCCCCGGCCCCGGCGGGACTCGGCGCGGCCAGAAAAGGAACGCCGAGCTCTCCCTTTTGGGGCCCGCCAGCTTTCCAACCGTGACCTTGCCAGCTTTCGGCCTCTTTTTGCCCATTATCTGGACCTGCAGAAGAGGCTAGACATTGCCTTGCTGGACGAAACCGAGCTCCGCGGTCGTTGGAAGAGCTTCGTGGGTAAATGGAACAGAGGCGAGCTCGCAGAGGGCTGGTACGACCCAGCCATCTTCGAGCTGTATGCCGCTCAAGACTCCACCGCACCATCGTCTGGCTCTGCCTCTGCTCCAGACGGTTCCCGGCATCCGCCCCGTGGCCCTTCTAATGACACGTCCACTACTAAAGACAACAGCAACAACAACAATGGGGCGGCCAAAGAAGACACGGACACGGACACAGAAGACGACGGCTACGGCCCACGGCCGCCTCCTGGTCCGAACGGCCTCAGCCCTCACCCTCTTCGACACCACTCACCATCAACCAACCCGCCTCCCCCCGGCCTCCAACCAGGCCCAACCATCCCTTCCCTCTCGGACCTGGCCCAGCGCGACGAAGAAGCCCACTTCTTGCGCACACAATCAGCAGCAGAGCTGCGGGCGGCACGGCGCGCCCACCGGGCCTCGCATAAGGCGCTGTTGGACGAGCTGGCGCCCAAACCGGACGCGGGGACGCACGAGCGGCGCGTCGAGAAGCGGCGGGCGGTCGCGGACAAGCTTCGCGGGTTTGCGGTGGACAAGGAAGGAGGGATGGTGGACGATCTCGGCGAGGGGGAAGTCATGGGTGGGTTTGAGGCGGACGCCAAGGAGGAGTACAGGCGGTTGCTGATGATAAGGGAGGAGAAGAAGAAGGAGAGGGTTGGAAGAAGGGAGGAGATGGAACGGATAAGAAGGGCGGAGCGGGAGGAGAGGGTCAGGAGTTACAGGGAGAGGGAGGAAAGGGTGTTGAGCGGGTTGAGAGAGATTGCTAGGCAGCGGTTTGGGTGAGATCAGTACCTACCAACTTTAGGTATGTGGGTGGGGTTGAAGTCGGTATCGCGTTGCACCTTGGGCGGCAGGACAACGTCTGCGGGCGCTGGCGCTTAAGGGGAAATGGACAGTGCAGGATGCCAATGAGACGCCACTGTAACAGGATGCAGTAAAAACAGTTGTTCTTCATTACAAGTTCTATATGCTTGGATATCATTACGTCGGCGCGAAACAAACCCCAAGGGCCGAGTTCAAGACAATATATTATGCAGGCTCGGTGGCCTGCTCGAATACTGTGGCGGTTCCTCAGGTGCACGCCATCCATCAGACACCAAATAGACATCAGGAGTAACTGACAAAGTCGTGTCTATGGAGGACCGACCTCTCAAATCATCCTGGGCTAGCTCGGGCACAACAGGGCGATAAGGAGGGGGCGGCGTAGGCTGTCTTTGTAGCATAGGCTGCGAGCTCGTTTCGGCAGCACGACTGGGACTCCGAGCCGATCCCCGCTCCACGTCTTCGGTGTTTCGCACCTTGGCGTACCCTGTTTGGGATAGACTGCTGACACGCCGGATGGTGATGATGACCGACACCAAATGTGACAAGCTGTTACCATATATATAAGTGACCAAGGTTGCTGAAGGGTATATGGGGCCACATACATGAAGATGACGCCGAGTCCAACGACCGCGTCCATCAATCGGCATACAGAACGCCGCCTGCCAGTGCCGACATGCTCCGGCCCGCCGTGCCTTGTCGGACTGTGCGCGAGGAAGTCTGGAGATGATCAGCGGACGGATTTGGGTGGTTTATTTAGGGACAAGATCACGCACGAGTGGTTTGGCCGAAGCCATGGCACTGAGATTCGTGGGGCGAGTCTAGCAAAGCCATGATGTTGAGCGCGGCTATGACGGTACAGCCGTCACCGAAGATTGTAGCCATGCGGGCGAAAGGCCATCTCCTCGACTTTAGCATCCGAGACAGGAACGCGCCAAGGAATGCGATGGTCTGATATACTAGGATCACGAGAGCCTATGCACAAAGTGAGCGGTGCGAAGTTTGTGTCACGCAGCCATCCGATCCCGATCGTACCTGTATCCGAAACCACCGCATCGCCCGCATTGTCTGCGGTGAATGGTGATGCTCCTGATCAGGGTGCTGCTGCCATGAGCCACGCCGATGGAGGTACGCTGGAGCGCCGAAGCCAGAGAGCGTCGAGTATGCAAAGGCGGAATAAGCCAACTGGAAGAGCCGAAGCGTTGTCATTATTATCCCAGACCAATCGCGCGACCTCGGGAGATGCTTTTCGTCGAGTTCTCTGATCTCGCCAGCCGTGTCGCCGCTGTCACTCGCGGGGCCCGAGCGGGATTGGGATAGCGTGTGCATTCTTGACGCCGAGATCCGTCAATGGAAACACAAGGCGCGAACATAAGAGTTGCAGACCTGATCTGATTCTCGTTCCCCCTTCAACGAGATATTCACATGCACAATGACAAGACTACATCAAAGTAAGAGTGCTAGGGCATCAAGAAGACACGGGCTTGCTTCTTCAATTGACAGCCTTAAAAGCCAGGTAGCGTTGACTTTGTTAAGCTACATGTTACGGTGGGTAGGCGCACCCCACTTCCACAACTAGTTAGCGTATCTTAGCTGCAGAGATATCTC